CTTAAAGTTGCTTAGAGAGGATATTAGCCCTAAATGGGAACTAAATTAAAAATTTTTTAAAGATTTATTTATTTATGCATACAAGAACGGAGGTACAGGCCAGATGTCGGGGGAGGGGGTTGGTGAGAGTATTTGCCAGAGACAGAGTGGGGAGCAGAACAGGCAGATCTACTGAAATACATGCTGAGGGGAGCAGCGGGCAAGAGAGGGAGGTGTGCTGCACGAATGAGTCAGCTCCCTAGCTTAGGATGAGTCAGCTCCCTGGTTTAGGATTAAACTCTGGCTGTAGTGGCTGGTGGTAGCTTGATAGAGCTGAGATTTTAACCCCTAAATTAAATGTTTTAAAGTCTTCTTTTTCTGAAATTTGGCAATTCTGTGTTTTGTGGCCTCTCTAAGTGAGTATGAACCTTCTGTGTGTTTCAAAGTATAAATTCAAATAGTTGAAGACGTTCATACCAGAAATATAAAGGAAACATGCAAGATTTACTTAATACATGAATGAGGAAAGTAGGGTTTTTTTTTAAGTTGCTTTTGAGGAACATAGATTTATGGGGAGAATCAGGAAAAGAGTGATGAAATAAATTTATGAGTTAAGTATAAAACTTATTAATATCCTAGAGGGAAATCTTTTGTCTGCTGTACCAACATTTATTTCTACTGTGAGTTTTCTGATGTTCAACATAAGATGTATATCTGATTTTCTAGTCTCTTCCTATATGCATTTTTGGATGACTAATAATAGTTGAGTGCTTCATTAAAGACTTTTCCACATTCATTACACCAATATGGTTTCCCAATCCTGTGGATTTCCTGATTTTCCAATACACTTATGTTATCCCTGAAAGCTTTACTAAATTCATTATACTTAAAGGGCTTCTCTCCACTATGTATTCTCTAATGGTAACTAAACCCTACCTTCTGAACAAAGACATTCCTACAGTCTACATTTGTAGAGTTTCTGACTTTTATAAATTCTCTTATGACTAAAAAGGGTAAGATTTTTTTCCCTGAAAGCCACATTTGTTGCATTTCAGGATATCTCTCTGGAATCCTCTGATGATTAATATTTTTTGAGTGCTTCTTGAATGATTTCTCATACTAATACATCTATCACCTGTAAGGTTACTTGCTTATGTGAATTCTGTGATTTTAAAAGAGATGAGCAGTTCATAAAGGCTATTCTAATACACTCTTTACATTTATGAGATTTTCCACTAACATGATTTTTTTGGTAATTAATAAGATATTATATTTGAAGAGTTGCCCACATTATAGTTCTACTTTGTGGAGCTTCTGTCCTAATCTGTATTAGTCATGACATTTTTTGTTCACTGTTTCAGAGCAGATCCTTCAGAAGTATTTTGCTTTAGGGCTGACATCTTTGTTTTAAACCAGTACTGTACAGACATTTGATGGAACTTATTACCCCTCCATTTAAGCTTTTGCCCTTGTTCCAGTTAATTAATTTTAGTTTGGAATACAGAAGTCCCATAAATGCCAGGTTCCTATTATTTTCCAACATCACCTGCCTGTACATGTCCACTGACTGGTATCCCTTGAATCTAGTCTGTCTGGGTAAAGGCCTTAACCACATCCCCACATGCTGGTGATCCTTTGATTTCGCCTTTTGGCAGTGTTGGAGCTGCCTGTCTCGGAACTCCCAGATTCATACCAGAATTATGTGTAAGCCAGTAATTCTGGAGACTAGAAGTCCAAAATCAAGGTATGGGCAGGGTTGATTTCTTCTGAGGTTTTGAGTAGAATCCTTTTTTGACTCTTCCCAGCATCTGGTGGTCATTGTCATTCCATAGTTTTCTTGATTTGCAGCTCAATCACTACAATCTCTGCTTGTCATTACATGACATTCTCCTTGTTTGAATCTTGCAATCACTGATTTTAGACTTGTCTTCTTTAAAGAAATATGCATTTATTAATTTTTAAAAAAGATTTATTTATTTAAGCATACAGAATTGGGGTGTAGACCAGAGCTTCAGGGGCGGTGAGAGGATTCATCAGAGACAGAGTATGGGGAGCAGAACAGGCAGATTGATGAAGTACACTGCTGAGGGGAGCAGGGGGCAGGTCAGGAGTCTGCAGTGCCATGTGGGTCAGCTCCCTGGCTGGAGATTGAACTGCTGAAGCTTTTGCAGCTAGCTTTGTAGTGCTGTGCTTTAACCCGTTGCACCACCAGGGAGCACCCTAAAGAAATAAGTATTTAAAGCTATAGTTCCCCTAAACATTTTTATAACTGTAACTTAGTTTTAAAACTAAGTTTCAAGTGTTTTTTCATTTTCATTCTGTTCAAAATATTTTCTGGCCCTCCCTGGTGGCGCAGCGGGTTAAAGCACAGCAGTGAGAATCCAAAGCCGCTTCCGCATGAGTTCGATTCCCGCCTGCCCCGGAGGTGACCACATGGCGTGGCAGACCTCTTCTGACCCGCCCGCTGCTCCCCTCAGCAGTGTACTTCGTCGATCTGCCTGTTCTGTACCCCACTCTGTCTCTGGTGAAGCCTCTCGCCGCCCCTGAGCCTCTGGCCTGTACCCCAGTTATGTATGCACAAATAAATAAATCTTTAAAAAAAAAAAAATTTTCTAATTTCCCTTGTGCCAGTTCATTTTCCCTGACCTACACATGCATAAATTAATGTTCAGTCCAACACTGAAGGGGACTACTATACAGATTTTTGGAGAGCTTTCTATTTTTAGCTTCCTCCATTCTGGTAGTTGTTCAAGTACTCTAGCTGCTATAGTCACCCTGAACTTTCTCAACTGATCAAGTCTACCCTATTCTACTTGGATTTCCCTTCCCTATGGCACAGTCTGGAGTTTACAGAAAGTAGATGTGCTCAGCAGGACTCACTGTGTTGTTTGCTTTCTCCTCGGGCCCACCATTCTGGGCAGCCTGTTGTTTCATATATTTTGCCTAGTTTTCTAGTTGTTCTTGGCAGGAGAGCAAGTCCATGGTAATTTCTCCTTTAAAGGCAGAATAGAGATCACAGTACATTTAAAATTTTTTTAATTGGTTATTTTCATCTATCTAGATATCTTCATTATTTTAAATACGAGAAATTTTGAGACTTATGGAAAGTTGATATAATGGTAATTGATAGTAGTTGCTACTTTATTGATTTCAGTGAAGCCTGTACATTCAGGTACCTGTTACCAAGATTCACACTATTAGTTACTATGTGGGGAGGTGGATGAAAATTTGAGAAGTATTTCTGTAGTTTTTTTCTTTTTCTTTTTTTCATAGTTACTATTTCTTCATCTTTTCTTAAGGAAGTTCTATTTTTTTTTCTTGCCTTCTAAATTGCCTTGTCTGGTGTTAATGAATCTCTCTTTTCTTTAAAAACAAATAAACAAATGGCAGATTGGCTTCTATAGTGCTTGCTTGACTCAATGACCCAGAAGTGTGTCTTTATGTTTCTCTTATCTCTCAGTTGACTGGTGTTCCCGTTTACTCTGTTGTACATCTAGTAATATTTTCCTGGAGTCAGGTTGCTTTGGCAGGTTTTCAGGTTGTATATTACTCTAGTCTTGCCATAGTCTTTGTCAATTATATGTACATGCAGGTGTGTCATTCATTTTTTCAGTACTTTGATCCTACTGCCTATTTTCTATATGTATCACTAAAATATATTTTACAACCCCAGAACCAAAGCTCAGGTGAAGAACAGGTCACCTCAGGCATGAAATTTAAAGGAAGTACTCAGTTCTTAAGGTCAGGTAAACCAACCCTGTAATTACATTTCTGTAGAAATGAATATCACCTTGCACTTTGTGCCCAAGGCACTTGTCTTGCTTCACCTTGGTGTGGCCCTATAGAATACTGAACACAGTTGGTTATAGACATCTATATGATTAATAACTTAAAATGAATTCTGTATAACTGTCTTCATTTAGACTTGTGTTGACTTTATTTATTTTAAAGATTCATTTTTTTTATTTATACATATAAGAGCTGGTGTTGTAGGCCAAAGGTGCACAGGGTGACAGGATTCACTAGAGACAGTGGGGAGCAGAACAGGCAGACTGACGAAGTACACTGCTGAGGGGAGCAGTGGGTGGGTCAGGAGAGGTCTGCTGAGCCATGTGGGTCACCTATATGGTTGGGGATTGAACTTGTGCTGCCAGTAGTTTCATAGTGCTGAAACTTAACCCCGTGTGCCACCAGGGAGGCCCTGTTGACTTGACTTTAGCTAAGAAAACAGAAGTGAGATAATTTTTCTGGAAAATCTGTGCCATGCTTGAAGTAACTTATGAGCCTCAAAGTTTATTCATAATCAGTTATTGGCTAGAATTTTTGGACCATAATATTTAGGTTGGCCATAGTAGGTTGTTGTATGTATATGCCTTTATTGCTTATGATGACATGACATGATGACATTAGTAAGTTCATTCCAGCATAAGATTACATTTTTTTGATAAGCTTGATTACTACTTTGGCTGATACCATATACAAGACCACCTGATTTTGGCATACAGTTGCTTAGAAAGTAGATAAATCTGTAACTTGCAGAAGGTCAAGAATACTCAGTTTGTGTTGCTTTCGGTTCAGTGTTGGAAATACTCCAGCTTATTTAGCTACTGCTCTTCTGATCCCACAGTCCTCATGCTATCCCTGAGAAATTTGTAGGAAGTGACTGGGAGGACAAGTGTGGGATTCTCCCCTGCCCCATCCCTAGCTCCTTCTCCGTTTTTCACTAGATTAGCTCTTTTGTGTTGTTCTCTCTGTTTCATGAACGAGAGTTCTGTATAAAAGATCTGTGTAGAAGGGACTCATTGAGAAGGGGAATCAACAATGAATGTGGAGTAGTACTTCTCCAAGCTAAAATATCTGAGCCAAAAAATACTGTTTTGCTTCTTCTGTTCCACTTACTAGAAAGCTTTCCCACCCTCTTAAAAGCCAATCTTCAAATAGCCTCAACTGTTGGTGTTCAGGGCTCTTTACAGAGTCTCTGTTTTTATTTCATCTTAAAATATTTTTATTCTTGTTTTTAGATGCCAGTGAGAGCAGGTGCCAGCAGGCAAAGACACAACTTGGATTTGGCCTGAGATCTGGAGGAGAAAATCACCTCCAGCTTCTCGAAGGAACCCCCTCTCTCCAGTCATGTTGGGCTGTCTGCTGCCAGGACTCTGCCTGCCACGCCTTTTGGTGGTTAGAAGGGATGTGTATTCATGCAGACTGCAGCATTCCCCAGAGCTGCCGGACTTTTAAGACAGACTCTTCTAATTCCATCCTGGTGTTTTTTAAAAAAGTCCAACCTTCAGATAATTTGGACATTCCACCTGAGGATGAGGTACCACATATTCTGGGGCTCGGTTGGACCAGGGCACCATGGAAGAGGCTGAGTCCGCCCAGAGCTCCACCCAAGCCTGCCATTCATTTAGATAACCAGCAGAACCTAATCAGGAAGCTTCAGAAGAGAGAGAGTCCAAGTGAAGTAGTGACACCTGTATTGACACAGCATTCTGAAATGAATGATTCCAAGGAACTAAGTGATCGGAATACCAATGACTCAGCAGAGGTAAGTGAATAAGAAGCAAATGAGCAGTGAAGCTGGTGCTTGTGTGTAACACCCATAGGCTAAGAAGTATGTGTATAAAGTTGCTCGGAGTCACCTTAGAGGGTGCTGCCCAGGTGTAAAGGATAATTTGGTTTTAGACATGGTCACTTCATACAAATCTGGCCATTGTTTTGGTAAAAGCTCATTGTCTAGTCTAAGCTTGTTCTTGGCTACAGGTAAGTACATTTACATGAGTGGTCTCCACCAACTGTTCTGCAATGTTTTGTGCGAGATGGCAGAACACTTGATTGATGTGGTTATAGTCAAGTTCTCCACCTCCCCAGTCTCCTGTATTATACACATTACTGGTGAGGTAGTTTCTATTCCAGTCTGACGTAACCATGCCTGGTGTCACATATTAAGACCTCACCTTCTGTGCTAGGGAGCTGGAAGCGGCTGTTAGCTGAGGGGTCTTGGGGGCGAATTCATGCCAAGCTTTGTATGTCAAAGGACATACCACCAGTAGAGTTCATTCTGTGTATTATGTTTCTTCACTGTTGATCTTCCTGGGCAAGTGATTAAAAGGAATGAGTCACTGTACAATTGATGTGACTTATTTTTGTATTTATTTTGTCCTAGTTGCTTCTATCAAATTAAAGCCAGAGTGGGGAGGCTACTACATGCCAGGCACTGTGTGTGCTAATCATTGTACTGTGTCATTTTGTTTAATTTTCATAGCAATATTCCCAAGTAGCTATTGTTAGTCCCATTGTACTAGTGAGGGAACTGTGGTCCAAAGAGTTCATTTAAACAGTCTGATCATATGGCTGGTGGATAGCAAACCCAAAATCAGAATCCAGGTTTAACATTACAAAAAGCCCTTTTACTGCTATATTAGAAATATGGTCTTAGTTTTAATATGCCCTTAAACATTTTTGGACACCTACTATCAGTTTCAGGTAAATTTTTACATTAGAAACACAAAGTTGAACAAGACATTCTTCATGTCCTCCAGGACTTCAGAATTTAGTGGCGGCTAGACATGAAGAGGTATTAACAATAGAGTATAATTGCTGCATTAGTAAATTTATATGTATAATACAGTAGGAACAGAAAGGGAAAGTGATCTGCTTTAGCAGGCAATTGGTGTGTGTGTGCACAGGGAAGACTTTACAAAGATTTTTAGCTTATTTCTGAATGACATATAGGATTTTGCTAAGGGGCTAAAGGTAGTGAAAACATTCTGAACAGAGGCACAGTCTATGCAAAGGCTCAGTCATTCAGCAATTATGTGATATTATACTAAGCTAGGTGCTAAGAACATTATGGTAATATTTATGATAGTAGATTTCTGCCCTAGTAGGCCTTATATTATAGAAAAGAAAACAGATATTGCATTTATAATACCTGTAAGTTTGATAAAAATTATGAAAGAATAGATGCAGAGTGCTGTACAAGTATCTAACAGGAGCCTAGCTGCTGAAAGTAGGGGGTTAGCTTAGGATACCCTAAGTAAGGAAAGTTAACCTGAGACTTAAAATATATATAGGAGTTTAAAAAAGAAATAGGCAAAGAGTATTTCAGGCAGAGGGAACAATAGTTTCAGTGTTAAGTATATTAGAGTATGGCAAGATCAAGTTGGGGGAGAGAGATCTCTTAAGAGATCTAGTGATGAAAGAAAAGACTTGAGAGGTGTGCAGAGCCTGAGGTCATTATCCTTTTTTAAAAGATTTATTTTTATTTTTATTTATGCATATAAGAACTGGAGTGTAGGCCAGAAGTGGGGGGAGTGAGAGGATTCACCAGAGACAGAGTGGGGAGCAGAACAGGAAGATCTACTGCTGTGCCATATCTGTTAACACTCCCTGGCCAGGATCAAACTCATGCGGCTGTGGCTGGTGATAGCTTGCTAATGCTGAGATGCAACCCCTTGTGCCAGCAGGGAGGTCCTAAGATCATTATCTTAAGATTAGTGGGGAAGTCATTAAAGAATTTTAAGCATACCTGATGTCATCAGGTATGTTCCTGTGTTGTGAATAGACTGGAGAAGGGTAAAACTACATGGTGCAATCAAATAGGAGGTGGTAGGTAAGGGAAACTTTTACTAGGAGGAGGAGGTTGAAGATAGAAGAAAGGGATAGAGAGTAAGTAATCCTTTAGAGTTTTATTGCTCAGACTTTATCATACATCATAAAGATTTGGAAGGCTTGTTACAAACAAATTGCTGGGCCCCCAATTCCTGAGTTTCTGATTCAGTAAGTTTAGGGTGGGCCTGAGAATTTACATTTGCAACAAGTTCCTGGAGAGTGCTGATGCTGGTGATCTGGGAAACACACTTTGAGAATTACTGCCTTATAGACAAGTGGGTTAGACTTCAGTGTTTAAGGTTAACCTTAAGCAGGAGAAGAGAGATTTTTTTTAAAAAAAAGATTTATTTATGCATACAGGACTGGGGTGAGGCCAGAGGTACAGGGGCGGTGAGAGGATTCACAGGGACAGAGTGGGAGCAGAACAAGCAGATGGATGAAATACACTGCTAAAGGGAGGCGAGAAGAGGTCCGCTGTGCCATGTGGGTCAACTCCCTAGCTGGGATCAAACTCATGCTGAAGCAGCTATAGCTTTCTAATGCTGTGCTTTAACCCGCTGTGCCACCAACAGAGGGCCTGAAAAGAGATCTTTATTATGATAGGAAGGAAGAAATGGGAGGATATAAGATAGCTTTATAGATTTGAGAGAAGAAAATTGTGGAAATTCTAAACTCACTCTTTTTCTCTGAAGTGGCATAGGTCACTTACAGGTAGAGGTACAGGTAGAGGTAGATGGAGTGAGGATAGTAGGGAGGAAGATCAGAAGTTTAAGAAAGTCATAAGGTTTTGTGAAACAGCTATTGTGAAAGGTAAGAGAAGGGAAGTTAGGTGAGGAGGTGAAAAGACTGCTGGGTAGCATTGGATATAGAGACCATGAATTATGAATGGTACTAATCTTTACAGTTGTGTGTTTCTTCTCAGGTCTCAGAAGCCTTGTCAACAAAAGGCTGTAGTTTGATTCCTCCAGGATTGGAATTTTACTAATTTTGTATAGAAGGAAATTGGGGCATGGAAATTAAGGTTTTTCTCAGGAGACTAGATGAAAGAGAGAGTGTAAGAAGGTAGGACAGAGACAAAGATAGAAGAGGCTGTCAGGTAAGATATAGAGGAATTTGGCATTTAGAGGTTTCCACAATGGGAAGTGGGATATTGGAGGAACAGGTAAATCCTGATCCTGAAAGAATCAGAGATAGTAGAATACTTGAATTTAAGATTTTAAGGTAGACAAGTTCTGGCTGTTATCAGATCTAGGGTGTACCTGTGGTAGAGGGCTGCTGGGATAGATGGGAGAAGAAATTCATTGGTGACAGGAGTTAAAGAACTCAGGAAGTTCAAAGAACATGTTAAATGAATTACCCATATAGAGATAAAATTAATAATAATGGTGGTGATGCTAGCAGCAATACCTAATGCTTACTGAGTGTGCATTGATTTGCCATGTACCATTCAACTTTTCACATGTACCAGCTTTTTTATTTAAGATTTATTTACACATTCAAGAATTGGGGTGTAGGCTACAGTTGCGGGTGGGGAGGTGAGAGGATTCACCAGAGACAGAATGGGGAGCATAACCAGTGGATTTACTGAAATACACTGCTGAGGAGAGCTGGGTGCATAGAGCTTGTTGAATTTCGCAAATCTGGGCTTTAATGTGTATAAGTTTCACAGAATTTGGATATTATTTGCCATTATATTTCTTCAAATATTTTTCTGTTCTCCCTTTCCTTTGAGAACTCTAGTTCTGGGCATTTTTACCACTCAGATTTGTTCTCAGTTTGCTGATACTTTATTCATTTCATTTCAGCCTTTTTCCTTTGCTTCATTTTCAACAGTTTCTGCTGATAGAGTTCCAAGTTTACTATTTTTTTCTTTTGCATTGCCTAATCCACCATTACATCTCTACAGTGTATTTTTCACCTTAGCCATTGCAACATTTATAACCAAAAGCTTGATTTGGGTATTTTTTAAAAATATCTTCCAGATATTTACTTAATACATAGTCTTTCTTATAGTTTCTTGAAAATATGGACAATAGTCATAATTATTTTATTTACTGGCCCTTGTTGACCAGTTCTGGCATCCAGTTTATTTATGAATCAGTTTTAATTGATTTTTTCCTCATTACAGGATTTATTTTCCTTCTTCTTTGCATGTCTGGTGATTTTTGACTGGGTGCCAGACATTGTCGATTTCTCCTAGGAAGTTTTCACTGATAGTCTTTTCCCCAGATTGGGCGTAGATGCTCTCCTGAGTGTTTGTACAATAGCCTGAACTCTGCTATTGCCTTTTCAGTCTGAGACCATGATGCTTATTGTTCAAATTCAGTCCTTCCAACTATGCCAATCATTTTGTTCCCTTGTATCTCTCTTTACGCTTCACTATTCCCTCTTCCTTTCCACCCAGATATTTCTAGGGCAGTCTATACTTTCTTGTCATTCACTTTTACTAAATCTTAACACTGTAGAATTTGGTTTCATTCTGCTCTGCCAAGTAGAGTCCTGATCTGACTGAACCTCTTTGCATTTATTTTTTCATATTAGTTGCAATTGTCCCTTTCTTGTTGTAACACACTTTCCTGGTTTTTTTCTCTCCAGCCAGTCTTTTTTAGTTTTATGGGTCATTTCTTGTTGCTTATAGCTTAAATACTAACATTCCTCAGTAATCTATCTTTGAGTCCATTGTCCTTTTCTTAACTTCGCATGTTTGTGGAGCAAGCTTCTTTTCTCCATGGTCTCAACTATTGTCTTTGGCAACTTGATTCCAAGGTGGGGTCTCATTTGTGCTTCAGATTCAGTATATCTAAAAAGAACTAGCTTGTTATTTTTTTTAAGCTGCTACTTTGTAGTTTCTCTTCCTTTTTTGACAAGACTTTAGTTAGTCCCTCACTCAAGCTAGAAAAATGGGAGTCATCAGAGATTCTATTCCCCAAGCCCCAGATCTGTTTCAGCTTCACAAATATTAGATCCTTAATATTTTAAAATCCATCCTACAGGGGGTATTTTCAGTAATGGTGGTAGAATAAAGTGGTCTCCTGAATCTTCCCACAGATAATATTTATAAAATATGTAAAAAATTTCTTTAAAGAAACTGGAAAGAATCCAAAAGCAGACAGAAGCTAGAAGAATTAACTCTTGAAAAATGGCAACTAAAAGTGATAAAAATTATGACTTTGCAGCTTTTTTTTTTTAAGATTTTTATTTATTTATGCATACAGTACTGGGGTATAGGCCAGAGAAGACAGAGTGGGAAACAGAACAGGCCAACTGACAAGTACACTGCTTAGGGGAGCAGCGGGCGGGTCAGGAGAGGTCTGCCACGCCATGTGGTCACCTCCGGGGCAGGCGGGGATCGAACTCATGCTGAAGTGGCTTTAGCTTCTCAGTGCTGTGCTTTAACCTGCTGCGCCACCAGGGAGGGCATGACTTTGCAGCTTCTAAATTTTTTTTGCTTAAGAACAGTCACTAATGCCCACATAAGAAGATAGCGCCTGCAGCAGACATCAATCTTACTCTCTAAATGATGGCAAAGAACAGAGTTGTGGGCAGAAAAATTGTCTGGAAATATGGGGGGGGGGCTTAAAAGTAAGAAAAACCACAGGAGGGTGAAAGAAACTGTAGTCTTATTTATAAATTCCTCTGAAATTCCTGGCTGTACCTCTAAAATGTAACTTCATAGGGAAAACTCCAGAGGGCCCATGTAAAAGCTGGCAGAGATCAAGATCAGAGAGGCAGGGTTCTGTCTAGAAAGTTAGAACCTACATTGGCATCTCTGAGTTTGTTGCCTTTTAACTGAGTGCATTCCCCACCCCCTGTGTAGCAGAAATTTGAAGCTTTATTGACTTGAAATGTTAGAGGAGAGTCTATGGTTCAAAAATTGGGGAGTAATCATCAGAAGCAAAGGAAACACAGCAAGAACAGTCCTCAAATTTTAGAACAATCTGTGGCCAAATTATTGGCTTGTTATCAGGTTATGTAATAGACCTGAAGGATCAGACTGAAAAAGCTGCTGCAAGAGATATCATTTGCTATAAATTGCAGGAAAAGCAACAATCTAGAGTTTAAGTGCAGATAAGTTGGGAAAAAGCCCCATAGGGAAAGAACAGTAGAATCCAGAGTCACTATGTTTATCAGACAGAATGCTTACCATTGCCTCTCTCCTTAAACCTGCATATACCTTGTTTAGTCTCTTTCCAGTTATCTTCCATTTCTTCTTGCCTCTCACTTTACTTATGACTCTCAGTTCCTAGTATATGCCATGTTAATCTCATTTTTTGTGCTGGCATTTATCTCTCTATTTAGCCTTTTGTCTAGTGAATAACTGTCTACCCATTTTTGTTCTTTGTTTGTTTACTCTTTAAAACTGAGTTTAGGACTTTCCTTCCTCAGGAAATCTTTAAATTACATTTTCATGCTCACTCCATCTAAGAGAGGCGTTAAAGTTGCCTTCAGATTTTGTTTCACCATAAATTTTATAGATGTATTTACCATTTTGGCCTATTATGTTTCCCCTCTAGAATGTGCATTTGTTAAACAGGGATTATTTTTTGTTTATATTTTGGATTCAAAAGGTCTTTTCCATAATAGGTGCTTGATAAGTATTTGTAGAAATATTGAATATAAATGTTAAGTGAGAAAAGATTAAAAGTATATTTAGTACATTTATTACTACTTTGTTTTAAGCAAAATTCTTTGCATAGGAAAAAAGACTGGGAAGATTTATATCAATATTTTAATATCAGTTTGGATGGTGAGATTAGTTACTTCTGCATTTTTCAAAGAAATATTTAGTGTGTTTAGTTGTCTCATGAGGCATAACATAAAAAACTGACTTTAACTTTTGCCTATTCAAATGAATTTTTACATTTCTTTAGGTCCACAAGACAGTTACAGTTTTAAATCCCTTAAATACAACCTTGCCTGTGGAGATTCCTGATTGGTCAAAGAATGTGTCGGCCCAACCTGGGACATCAGAGGATCCTGGTACTACACCCAGCACTCAGCAAGTAAAAAGCCCAATTGCTACCTCTCAGCCAGTGGCTCCCTCCTACAGTTTTGCCACCTCCAGCTCCCAGGCCTCTTTCCAGAGCACTTCAGCACCATCCCCAGGTGAAGAGGCTCTTGGCTTCTGCCCTTGGGATAGATGAGCAAATAGAGCATTTGATCAGAGTTCTTGTTTAGTTGAAAGAAAGGAGGGTGGGATGATGTTTGAAGGCTGTAGGTTAGGAAATAAAAACCCATCATTGTCCCTGTAGTCATATGACTTGGGGCTCTCTAGACTTTCTCAGCAGGCCCAGCCTATGAGAATTTATGAGGCCCCTTTCCTCACAGCCAGATTCCATTGTGCCTGGCACTTGGAAGTGCCAGACACAAGATTCAATTAAGTAATGTTTAAGGAATCAAGCAACAGAGGCCCCTAGAGAAAAAGAAAGCGTTGTATCTGGGCACCTGTTTGCTGACAGTTGGAGAGATATTTGTCTCTGATTTCGATAGATCTTTCTTTTTAAAGCAACTCATAGGAAGAAAATTTATACATAGGATGTTGCCTTAAGAACAAATATGTACTTCACTAACTCTGTTCTAAGATATTAAGAAGAAATGGCTAATCAAGGAAACAAAATTGATTTTTATTTTCTGCAAAAGCTAACATTGAAACAAAACCAGTGAAAATTAATTTTTGCCAATTATTTTAGTAATATAAAATGAACCTAAGGTTTCAATCCTGAGGTACCCAAGTGTTTTTTTGTACTCAAGCAGAATACTTGTAATTTTTTTTAAAGATTTATTTATTCATACAGAACTGGGGTACAGGCCAGAGATGCAATGGGTGAGAGGATTCACCAGAGACAGAGCCGGGAGCAGAACAGGCAGACAGATGAAGTACACTGCTGAGGGGAGCAGTGGGCGGGTCAGGAGAGGTCTGCCACGCCATGTGGATCTCCTCGGGGCAGGAATCGAACGCATGCGGAAGTGGCTTAAGCTTCTTAGTGCTGTGCTTTAACCCGCTGCACCACCAGGGAGGGCCGCAGAATGCTTGTAATTTTTGGTGTAATTGTGAAGGTTTGTGTTGGTTGCACTGTTTTTTTGCCCATTGTACCTTCTCTGCGTATAGCGGTTTATTTGTTTCTTTGAAAGTCCAGTTCAGAGTATTATTATTCCATCTCTTAGAATGTCTGAATGCTGAAGTTTCCATAATGGATGGTTTCATTTCTCCCTAAGTGCAAAGTTCTCAAGCAGACAGATAAATACTAAGTTTCGTATGTGTCTAGGATGCTCTTCTCACTTCCCAATCTTGAAATATGAATAGGTCAGCCATAAGCTTTGAGCTCTCAGAGTTCTCATATTAGGCCTCATAGCTAATGAACTATTATTGTCAGAGAAGTAAGATTTATATAATCATTGGTTCTTAACTTGCAAATATTTTTGGTTACAGCTATGGAGGAAGGGTGCTACTGACACCTAGTGGGTAGAGGCCAGGGTTACTACTGCCAAACAGCTGTGTACGCCAACCTAACCCTTTTCCTGAGCAAAGAATAATCTGGTCCAAAATGTTCATAGTGTCATAGCTGAGATACCCTTACATCTACGTAATAACTATATGAATAGTATAAAGACGTAGCTGTTTGCTGACTTGAGTATTTCCAAAAATGCTAAAGTAGTTCAGGAAGTAGGATCTTTAACCCCAGACTGAAATTATCTGGTAAGATTTCTTACAAAGAAGACTGGTTTTAAGCTGGAAACAAAGTCCTGTATGAAGAATAAGGCAAGGCAATCACCCTGTTGAAGGAAATAGCTTTTATAAAATCCCCAAGAGTAGGCCATGGCTTCTACAGAACCCAAGAAAGTAAAGTGAAAATAACTAAAACTTGGGTCAAAAGATCCAAAGGTATGATCTGATGATTATGGTTCTTTATTACTTTATTTAAAAAAATATTTACTTATACATAAAGGACTGAGTTACAGGCCAGAGGTTCAGGGACAGTGAGAGGATTCACCAGAGACAGAGCTGGGAGCAGAACAGGCTGACTGACTAAGCACACTGCTGAGGGGAGCAGCGGGCGGTCAGGAGAGTTCTGCTGCACCCTGCGGTTCAGCTCCAGGGTGAGGTGGGGGGCCAGTTGGAACCACACTGAAGCTGCTGCTGCCAGCTTACAGTGATGCACTTTAACCTGCTGAGCCACCAGGGAGGGCTGATTGTGGTTCTTTAATGCTAGGCTAGGAGTTTGTTCCTAAACATGATTTGGATAAGGAGTGTGAGGCTCTCAAATAGGTAAGTAATGTGGTAGGTGAGTATTTTAGAAGAGTTAGTGGTGGTAAGTGTTGTAGGAAGACAGGATGGCTTTGAGTGGGGAAGCTAGTAGGGCAAGGACCAGTTAAGATTCTTGAAATAACCTAAATTTGGTTGTAGCAATTGTAACTTGCCTTTCCTTCTAGGAAATTTTTTGTGTACTTTACTAGAAAGTTATTAAAATAAAGGTGAGCCTTGAAAGAGTTGAACTCTGTGGAAAGTAATATAAGATGGCATATGGGCAGACTGTAGTTAAATACAATGGAGAAAACTCAGAAAGGAAGAAAAGTAGAAAAATATGGTGTCGTAATCAAGAGTTGTTAAAGATGACTGCAGTCAGCAGTTTACATGCTACAGAGATGAGGAGTGAGAATTGAGAAACAGCTACAAGGTTTAATTAGAACCAGGTTATTGATGACCTCAAAAGATCCTTGTTAGTGAAGCAGTGGGAGTAGAATCAAATTTCAGTCGATAGCTAATGAGGAAATGAAGGCAGTACCTGACTATTGTTTATAAAAGAAATTTGGCCATAAAAGAAAGGAAGAAATGAGTTAGTCTGTGTCTGATTTCTTATCTCCTATGTATCTTATTTCCAGTTATCAAGAAACTAGTGGTATCTGCTGGAGAGAGTGTTCAGATCACCCTGCCTCAGAATGAAGTAAAGTTGAATGCATATGTTCTCCAAGAACCACTTGAAGGTAAAAAAAAAAAAAGTCTACTTTTGGTTAGATAATGTTTAATTTAGAATGATTTCTATATACCTTAACTTATTCACGTGTCACATTCCTGGGAGACTATGATACAGCATTTGCTATGTGGAAAGTATTATACATGTTTGAGATCATGACCTACAATGATTATGCTGGGTTCAAATTCCAGCATAATTTGTAATCATTGAATGATTTCAAGCAAATTATTTAACTTTTCTGAATTTCTATCTCAGTAAAATGAGGATAAAAATTCCTCTGTCTTTTCTTTTTCCTTCTGGCTTATTTCACTGAACATAATCCCTTCCAGCTCCATCCATGTTACTGTGAATGCACTTGAGAGGAGAAAGTATATAAGCTTACATTGTACAAAAACAAACAATGATGTAATATATGTGTGTATATATTTATATATATACATACATATAAATGTTATACATAAATAAATATACTATAAACAGTCAAAAAATTCCTATATCTTAAAAGTTACTTTCAGGACAAAATGAAATGTTTTATAAGGCACCTATTCATTTTCTAGCATGTAGCAGATGCACATTAAATCTAGGTTGTGTTGGGCCTCCTTGGTGGCCTAAGGGTCAAGTTTTAGCATTCTTGCTGCTAGCCCCAGTCAGAGAGCCAGTCCACACATGACACAGCAGACCTCCTCTCTCTTCCCCACAGCTCCCTTTATCAGTGTATTTTAGCAGGTCCACCTGTTCTGCTCCCAATCTGTCTCTGATGAGTCCCCTCATCCTTACCTCTGGCCTGCATTCCAGACCTCCTATGCAAGAATAAGTAAAATCTTAAAAAAATAAATTGTAGGTTATATTATATTTCCTTAAAAGAGGAAGAAACTAAGACTCTGGTTAACATGTTTATTTTGGCTAACAACTAGTAAATAGTAGGTATAGAACTGGAAAGAAGTTTTTCAAGACTACTGCAAATAGATAGTTGTCACTTTTTTAAAAAAAGCTCATTTATCATTCCAAATTCAAATTTATGAAATCTATAAATTATGGGATTTTTTTTTAAAAAAGATTTATTTATTTTTGCACACAAGAATGGGGGTACAGACCAGAGATGTGGGGGCGGGGGCGGTGAGAGGATTCACCAGAGACAGGGGGCCAGAACAGGCAGACTGACTGCTGAGGGGAGCAGCGGGTGAGACAGGAGAGGTCTGCTGTACTATGTGGGTCACTTCCCTGCCCGGGGATAGAATTCATGTTGCAATGGCTGTGGCTGTGGACAGTCTCACAGTGCTGCTGTGCTTTAACCAGTTGTTCCACCAGGGAGGGCCCTTAGGATGAATGCTTATTTAAGAACACTTCTGTAATGTAAGGACCCCTTTCACCTTTGAAGTATCTGTGAATATACTGAAGTTTGACTTACAGACACATACATATTCTCTTAAGACTATCTCATGAAGTGAAACTTGCTTTGATGGCAGATTTTTGTAGTGGGTTTATGTTACTCCCATTATGAAGTTAATAAAGTAGGATCCCATGCTCTTGGGGGTCCTTCCATTTTAGGAACATGTTTTCATTGCTGTGTTCCTAATTTCTGGACCTAATACCAAATAATATATTTATACAAAAGTATGGGCCTCCCTGGTGGTACAGGGGTTAAAGTTTCACAGCTATCAGGGTATCACCAGCCATTGTGACATGAGTTCAGTTCCCTGCCAGGGAGCTTACCCACATGGTGCAGCAGACCTCTCCTGTCTCGCCTACTGCTTTCCTCAGCAGCATATTTAGTAGACCTGCCTGTTGTGCTCCCCACTCTGTCTCTGGTTAATCCTCTCACCCCCTGCACCTTTGGCCTATATTCCAGTTCTTCTATGCATAAATAAAAAATAATCTTTTTTAAAAAAGTGTTTTTCCAGAATCTAAATTGCCCTCTCTGCTAAATATTTCTGTCCTGAAATTGAGATTTTATCAGTTCATTCCATCTTTCTCTGAAGATGCTTTTCCCTTTCCCCCTCTGTGATTAAGCTAAGGTGAATGGATTTAGTGGCATTTGAAGATGAAGTTAAGGAAAAAAACAGCTTTGAACTATGAAAGATTTTTTGGGCTCTAATGTATTTTTCCTTTTAACTCTTAAATGCATTTACATTTCTGTGCATTAATACCATCTTGTAGATCAGAATTCTAAAACACATCAGTTCAGAAACAGATTCTTTTCAACTCTCCTTTCCCCAGGGTCTTCAGCCTTTATCAGATACATGTGATGATGGCTTCACACTTTCAGAGGTTAGGGACAGAGAGGCAGGGCTAGCTCTGCTTGTTCTTCATTCCTCCATCTTTTGGGGCATCTCTCAGGACCCCTCCAGGATTCAGAGAGACAGTCTGAAACTACTTCCATAAATCATTAAAACCAGCATTCTAATAGATCTATACTCATCTGTTCCTACCCTTGGTCAAACTTCTGACTGTAAGGCATAATTTATATCCTGAGTTTTTCTTTCCTATGAGAGAAATGCCCCCTTTTTAAATTTTTGCTGCTAGCTTTAGATATACAATTGTCAGTTCCCAAACTAGTATATATCTGTTTTCTGTATGGGCAAAATTTCCAACTATAGTGGGAAGAAATTTCATCTTTTAGTTACTCTCCAGCATCTGCGTCTTTTCTTCTCCTTGCCTATCAGAACTTCTGCATATCAGAGGCTATCTGGAACTGACAACTGGACATAACTGGGAAGAAGGAAGAGTGGTTGACCTTGTAGCTGAGGCTCGTAAAATAAAATCTGGTCATAAATGTAGGTTATTTTGAAATCAAGCTGTACCTGTTAACTTTAACTTTTGAATTCATGGAATAAGAAAAAATGACCATTCTCTGTTGTATGTTTCAGGTTCCATTTTTCCCCCTTTTATTTTCACTTTGGCTGCCCTACCAAACCCTACCCCCTTCCATAGCTATAAATGCATTTTATCCCCCCTAAATTTAAGACCATTTTTACTGGGGAGAGATTATATCCTTGTCATACCCAGTCATACAGTTTAAGCTGCAAATGAGGACCATTAAATACTTTGTTTGATCTTAATTAATTTCAGTGGGGCCTGTTTTAAATGGGCCATCCCCTGCCATCATCTGCAGTGTGTTATTTAGCTCAGCAGGAATGAAGTAGCTCTTTTAACTCACCAGGGTGTGATGACCTCAGTGAGACGAACATTGTTAGCACTCTGTAAAAAGCTATTTTTGAACCCTGTTATTTAGAAGTCTTTGCTGTTCTTTGTTGCAAAAGAAGTTTTGCAAAAAAAAAAAAAAAATGGCCTTTGTTCCCAGTGAGTTCATCTGTAGTGGTTGGTAGGGTCTACTTTTGCTGGGATGCTACACAACCTGTTTTGTTTTGTTTTGTTTTTTTCACGACCTGTTTTTTTGTGGGATATGGAGCAGGAATGGGCATTGCTGCGAGAGAGAGGGAGAAACTCTGACATAGCCATGTCAACAGACTCCACCCTTTCTTTCAGTGGAATGTTTTTTTCCCTATAGGTTTTGAGGTGAAATCTTAAAAACCAAAACCAAGTCCTTATCAAGATTTAGAAGAGACTTGTTATCGGCAAATAGTGTAGCTACCCTCCTTGTGTGTAGGTGTGTGTTTTCATGATTTTTGTCATTGCCCTTCTACAGGAGAAATCTACACCTACAACTGGCAGCTGATTACTCATCCTAAAGACTACAGTGGAGAAATGGAAGGAAAATATTCTCAAACCCTCAAACTGTCCAAGGTGAACTTGCTTCCCTTCATTTTCAGGGTTTGGGGTTGACTGTTTTCTCAAAGGTATAGTACAGAATTTTCTGTCCACACGAAAGTCACTAACAATCATTTGGAAGAGAATCCTCCAAAGGTCTGACTGGCTAACATCCAGTATTTGTTAGTAGATGGTTCTCAAGTCAAAAAGAAGATTGTTCCAGCATGGCAGGGATAGTTGATAATATAAATCAAACAGCTTACAGATAATATAAGCATTTTAGAAGTTGGGAGATAAGCTAGGATATTCATGGACACTTGACTATAAATTGGCTCAGCTTTTTTTGGGGGGGGGGGAGGAGGAGGGAATTCAGTGTAGTTACTATTAAGAGACATAAAAAAGTTCATGTCATTTAACCAAGAAGTCTCTTTTCACTCATTCATTCATACCTTTAGTAAGATTAGTGACCAGTGAACTACAACAGTCTTGTAGGTGATGCTGGCAGGAAGCAGATGTTTTAAACAGGGAGATACACTATAAGAGGCCTGGAGTTAAAGTTTATGTTGTTGGGCCCTGAAAAGTGACAAACTCACTGGGTAGAGGGTGGAGGGATGTTACTGATCACCACAGTGACAAAAACAAACAGGCATCATGGAGCAGGCTGTAGCTATAGGATGCTGCTGCTCAAGGGCAAGATCCTTGCCTTATTGTTGAGAGAGAAGGGTGGATCAAAATGAACACTGGATTTTGGGCTTTAGAGAGAGTGAGTATGCTCCCAACACCCACCCGTGGCTCTAATCTTATTAACAAGGTGCTGCACTGATCAGCTGCTGGGCGCAAAGCACATCAAGTATTGCCCCAGGGCCATCAAGTGTCCTGCTGTCCTGCTGTCCTGCTCTTGTCTAACTGGAAAGGAGCCTGGTACACTATACGCATAGAGGGGTAATACCCCAAGCAGAGGAAGGAATGGTTTGTAGCTTTGCCTAGTACAATCTATAGTGTAAAAAGAGCAGTGGCACAAGTCAGTTGGGGAGATATGGAGGCTAGCTGGCACAGACCCTTGATGGCAGATGCAGGACTCTGCATCTTATCCAGAGTGAACAGGGAGCCTTTCAAAGGTTTTAAGCAGTAGAAAGAAGTAACTCAGACTTTCCGTTTGCCAAAATCACCCTCACTGTAGATTGGAGAAGCTGAGGCTCAAATTCAGGATATTGATAAGTAATTTGCTAAAAAATATAGATATTAGATGATAATTACCTGAGTAAAAGATTAAATAAATAAGACAAAAAAATCTATTGAGCTTATACCATGTAGCAGATAATGCTAATTGATTTATGCACTTATTTAATTTAATCTTCATAACAACCACAAGATATAGATGTTAATATCAGTTCTACAAATGATAAAAGCACATACTGAACTATTAATAAAGTGGTTTGACCAAAGTTCACATGACTGCTTTATTGTAGATTTGATGGTGAGGCTCTCCATCTTTAAAGCCCATGCATTGTAACATCTGTTCTGTAATGAATGGTTAAAAGCTAAGATGGTGGCAGTATAAATGGAGAGGAGTGAGTGGATGTGAAAAATATAGAGGTCAACTTGATAAGACCTGGTATTCAATTAACTGGTGGTGTTGAGGAAGAAAAATCTAGGCTAATTCTAGTCTTTTGGCTGTGGCAGGTGGGTAGATGTTGGTCCAGGTGTGGTTATATTCACTGAAATGAGCACAGAAAAAGCAGCCAGTTTGGGGGAGATTTGCAGATTTAGTAATTCATTTTTGGACAGAGAAAAGTTGAGGTACTGTGAAACATTGGAGTGGAGGTATCTAATAAGTAACTACTGGGTGGAGGGCTAGAGCCAGGATACAAGTCTGGGCTACAGATGACCCCATCATAATAGATATCATCCAGGGAGAATGTGCAAAGAAATATAGGTTGTAATTGGAATACTAGCAACTCCACCATTAAAGGTATGGGTCCTCTGACTGGCAGGCTGCGCACCACGCACCACGCACCACGCACCACGCACCACGAGCAGGGTTGTGGGGTGGAAAGAAGAGGAAACTGAAGAGAATGAGAAGCGGGCAGAGAGAGAGGTGAAAGCCAAAGAAGGGAGAGCATTACAAGAAAATGCTACAGGTGGTCGATTAGCATTACCCAAAAGAGAATTCAAAAGAAGGAAAAAAATCCCATTTGCCTGAAACATGGCAGGAGTTGTAATAGTTGAAATTTGGAAACAGCCCAAATAGCCAGCAATATGGAATATGCTTATATGAATTAGGACATATGTGCTCTGCTATTTTACAGCCATTATAAGGACTATTAAAAAGTATAATGGTTTAAGTGTTCATGCTAAGAATGAAAGGAGTACAGCTTGTTTTTAGCCAGACCTTGAATATCACTGAAATATGAACACATAGGTAGGTATCTCATCTTTCTCATCTTCAAATCCCAAAGATCATGACTGGCACATAAAGAACTGTTTAAATGAATTTTTTTGTTATTGTCAAGGATTGGAAGGAAATCAGAAAGTATGTCTAATGAAGTATTAGGAAAGTGGGATTGTGGGTGATTTTTTTTTTTCTCTCTTTATATTATGTTCATACAGTTAGTAGAAATCCTAAGGGAAAAATATTCAGGTATTTGGGAGCAATTTGGTATCTTTACAAAAATGTTTTTCTTTGCAGTGATGATTGTTTTAATTTCATAACTCTGTGAAGTAGGATGGTTGGGCCCTTAATGTTCTTCTGAAAAGAAAATGGGAGTACAGAGATATTAAAATCCCTTCTGTTGTTCTAGAATCAGCTAGTAATAAGATTCACATTAAAAGCTATGCTTTTGTTTTTTTAGTTTATAAATTCATTGTTTCATCTTTTCAGCTAGTATACTTTCTCCATTTTGGAAAAAGTGCAAGAAGAGAGTGCAAGAATCATCAGTGGAAAGTTCACATATGCATTATTTAAAAAAATGTATATTTATTTATGTATACAAGAGCTGGGGGTATAGGCCAGAGTTTGGGGGCTGGGATGAGAGGATTCACCAGAGACAGAATGGGGAACAGAGCTGGTGGATGTACTGAAATACACTGCTGAGGGGAGCAGCAGGCGAGGCAGGGGAGGTCTGCTGCGCCATGTTGGGTAGCTCCCTGGCCAGAGATCAAGCTGGTGCTGTAGTAGCTGTGGAGAGCTTCATAGTGCTGGGACTTAACCCCTTGTGCCACCAGGGAGGCCCATATATGTGTATTTAAAATGTAATTGTTAAATTGTTACTTTTTGTGGTTGTCAAAAAAAAAATCTTTTCTCACTTCTTCAGCTCACTCCAGGCCTGTATGAATTCAAAGTGATTGTAGATGGTCAGAATAGCCACGGAGAAGGTTATGTGAATGTGACAGTAAAACCAGGTATGTATTTTCCAGCTCTGGTGGTGACTTCATTGTTCTTTCTGCAGGATTCCCACAGAGATAGGTGCTTGATATTAGGTGTTTAAATTCCTGTTTTCTTTGTTAATGTATTTACTTTGGATTTACTCAGTATGGTGGACTCTTTAGGGTAATGAAGTATATACGCTTTGGTTCTAGTTGAAACTCTTGGCTGTGCAAGGAAACTTTAGTCTCACTGCCCTCTGTGTACTACGGCCTGAACAGTAGCCTGTCTACCTGAGAACTTTCTCCAGGTGGGTCATGTGGAAAAAGGACCATGTATCGTAATTAAGGGGTGCAAGAAAGCCAGGAGCCAGAAGTATTGAGAAGAACCAGCCCAGTGACTGATAAGAAATGTAGGCTTTTGTCCACAAAATTCCTCATTTAGACCTTGCCAGTCCTCTTTCATCTTGGAAACCAAAGCCTGTCATTCTTTTTATCCACAATTGGTAGATTGAAGTATAATAGTAAGGTATCTTGATTTGCATTTTATCTGAAATTTGGGAAAGTTGACAGTAGCATATACATTGGCACAATTTGTAATACTGTTTTTAATCTTTGCTGGTAATAGATTTTCTTTTCATTTCTTTAACTTTGTAGCCAAGGTAATTCTTCTGCCTTCTTTAAAATGTGATCAGCACAGAGGCTATTTGATCATTTCTGAAAGGAATGGCTTCTGGGTTGGTAGCTGATAGTTGTTCGGGAGGACCTGAGTGGCTTGTGACCTTCTCATTACTCAGTCCCAGTCACATCACGTACACTCAGCTTGGGATGCTTGAGAAATCACCATTACCTTTTCAGTACAAGGGACAGTACTTGCCAGTGCCTTTATTAGGGAAATCTTGCTTGTTATCTAGCTTTAGTCAGCTTGCTGCTACAGTACTTTTCATTGTGGGTGTTGAAAGAATGCATACGGCCTAGTCTTAGGACTAGTTAGGTATGCGAAAGCTCTTCTATTTCCAGGTATCTTATGTTAGAATGGCAAACTAGTCTTGTGACTTTCCCATATGGTAATGCTTCAGCCACAAATTATGTAATGGAAACTGACATAATATACACAGATATGTCCTGTTTCTCCTATATTTTATAAAGACTCTTCTGGTTCATTTTCTTGTAGAGCCCCGCAAGAATCGGCCTCCTGTTGCTATTGTGTCACCACAATTCCAGGAAATTTCTCTGCCAACCACTTCAACAGTCATTGATGGCAGCCGTGAGTACTTGTCTAGGCAAGCTGCTTTAGAAGAACATTTACTATGTGCTCTGCTAGAAAATAGAAAACTCCGGTGTATGATTTAGGGCAGCTATGTTCGCATTCTGTTTAGATCAGTTTTGACTATGTAATGGGGAGACCAGCCTCCTAAAGCAGCTGAATAGAAATAAAAAACTGGCAGGCCTTATTTACAATACCCTATGTAGCTTGCTTAAAGTAATATTGCTTTTCTGAGATGTTAAGGTGTACATATTTAGCTGAAAGTTAGTGGTTTTCAAATTTGCTTAGATGGAGCTGCCATTCTCAGCTATGAAAACAGAGCTCCTTCTTATCGTGGCAAGACAGGCAACTGAGAGGCTTGATTGTGGCACTCTGTCCCAGCCATCAAAACCTAGCAAGAATCTTGTTGTCTTCCTGGAGAGACTCAGAGAATGTGCTCCTTACCGCTGCCTGGCACATTAACATAACAACCTTCAGAGTAGTTTTTGTTACCTAATGGGTGATATGAGAGGATTTTGGGTCTTTGCTATTCTTTTTTCCCCCACACCCCCTATTTTTTTTTTACCCAGAAGATTATTTAGGGCCAAGATATGGTAATACTGTTTTTAGAGTTATGAAATTAAAAGTGTGTGTGCAGCTTGTTTCAGGCCTATCCTCTCACCATAAAGGCTTTGTTACCCTGACTGTCTTGGCATCAGTAGCATCTTTTTGGCAGAGGCAGTTACTGCTTTAGCAGAGGACTCTCTAGCAAGAATTTCATGTAGATGGTTCTAACAAAAAAAGGAGACTAGAACAATAGCATACTGAGAGGGAAAAGACAGAACAGAAGAAGCACTTGTGAGAATGGTAAAAAGGTTTCACATGCTACCATTTTATTTTGCATTTTGAATAGGTTAAACTTAAATAATATATAAAGATATACAACTATAACAACCCTACCGTCCCTGTCTCCCTACTACCCAGTTTTCCTGCAGACAACCAATGGTTTTATTTTACATTGCCTTCCAGAGGTACTTTGTGTGTCTGTGTGTAGATAGGAAAATACAGATATAGTTTCCCTCTTGTTTACATAAATGATAACACATATTCCATTTATGTATAATGCTTGTCTTTAAATATATAACATGTTTGTGAATCAGTACATGAAATAACTTCATTATTTTTTCTTCTGATGATTACATATCTGTCCATTAACTTGAGATAGAGTTTCACTGTATGCATATATAGATGTTTTCAGTCAGTGAATAGCTGACCATTTAGATTATTTTTAGTCTTTGGTTACTAAAAACAGTATTACCATATCTTGTAAGCATAACATTAAACACATGTGCAAGTATTTCTATAGAATATATTTCTAGAAGAGGAATTGCTAGGCAAAGATAAATCTTGCCAAATTGTTCTTTATAGAGGTTGTACCAAAGTTACGCTTTGAGGGGACTCTTCTTCCATACCTTTACCCCTAGAATGTATTGTGGAACTTCACCACTCTGATAGGTTTTACCAATCTGATAGGTTTTGGTTTTTTTTTTAATGGTGTATAATTTGTATTTCTGTTAAATGAGGTAGATTCTTTTTATGTTCTAAGAATTTTTAGTTTTTTTATATAGTAGCATTTTAACAAGAAGTTGGCTGTGTTGGGGTCCTTGGAAAACTACACAGTGAAATATTCATAGAGAGGCAGAATGACCCAATATTCCTAGGGAAGAAACTCTCAAGGGTGTTACTCTGTAATAGTCTGTAGTTTCATGAAGTTTTCCTGGCCTCAACTCTCTGGGTAGCTGCCCTGGTTTGTGTAAAACTGGATAAGTGCTGAGACCCAGCGCTCTCATGTTGTAACTGATGTTTCTTTCTGGTCAAGAAAGCACTGATGATGATAAAATTGTCCAGTACCATTGGGAAGAACTTAAGGGGCCTCTGAGAGAAGAGAAGATTTCTGGAGATACAGCCATATTAAAACTAAGTAAGCTCGTTCCTGGGAACTACACTTTCAGGTAAATTAGGATCCAGTTTCATCTTTACCATGGGCCATTTTTTCTCCCTTGTGGGTTTTATATACTTATAAGAGTAACTCTGACAGATACCATGTTCACTGTGGAGTTGATTGATAATGTAGCCCAGGCTAAATTTTATAAAGTATAGAATTTCAATACTAGAAATCATATTTGCTTCATTTGGTTCTCTGAGCCCTGGGGTGATTGTGGTCACAACAGTAATATCTTTTAGGGCAGAGGTCCTTGCATAGCAGATCAAGATTCTCCTTAGTTGATCCATTTCTTCAAAGTCTTACGTAGGGGCCCTCCCTGGTGGCGCACCGGGTTGGGGCGCAGCACTCTGAAGCTGTCTGCAGCCATTCCAGCAAGAGTTTGATCCCAGCCAGGGAGGTGACCACATGGCGCGGCAGACCTCTCCTGACCCAATGGCTGCTCCCCTCAGCAGTGTATTTCAGTCAGTCTGCCTGTTCTGTTTCCCACTCTGTCTGGTGAATCCTCTCACCCCCTGAACCTCTGGGCTGTACCCCAGTTCTTGTATGCATAAATAAACAAATCTTAAAAAAAACAGAAAGTCTTACTTAGCAGATCCTTTCACAATTGAAAGGTCCTATCTCTCTTCACCTTTCTGCAAGCAAAATCTAGAAGGAACTTGTACCCTCTTGTCTTTTCCCTTTGAGAAATGATTCTTTAATTTATGATGCCTCAAAATATTAAATTTGAGTAGTAATTTATTTGAATATGATTTATAGGCTCTTTCTCTATTAGGGCTTTGTGGAAAATTTGATTCTCCTTTTGTCAACTAGCCCACATTCTAGAATGAGATTAATAAGAAAGTGACGATTTCTCTAGAATAATCCTCTTTCTATTTGCATAATTCCTGTATATTGCAGAGCACCATATATATATATATAGTAGTATCCTCATTATATCTGAGAAAAAAAATAAGACTCAGTTTATTTACTACCTTCTCTGCAGTCACACAGCTAGAACTCAAGCACAGACTCTCTAACTCCCAAATCAGGGCTTACTGTGCTCCACTCCTTGACTTAATGCTTAAGTATTTTGTTTCTTCTTCCTTGAACTCAATTCTCAAGCTGTTAGACTTCTGCCCATTCTTAAGGATCTTTTCAGTTTTCTACGAGGCTCTCTGAGGTCACTCTCAGAAGAAGGGAGTATGCCTCTCCTGGTTCTGTTTCGTGCTCAGTGTCTCTGTGGACCCTGCCGTGGTACACAGCCTCTTCATGATATTTGTCTTCCACTGGATCTCAGGTTAATCAAGTTTTAGATACTTTCTGAGACAAAAATTGGGGTCTGAGTACAACTTCTAACATATAAATACATGTACAAGATCTTACTTAGCTGTTCTCCCCATTGATTCAAAACTTCAGGCAAATGAACGCCATCTGCCAGCACAAGATTAGTTAGACTTCTCATCAGTTCAAAATGGAAATGTGAGTTGGTTTTAGATTTCTAGCATAGGAATTTCAGCATTAGGATTTAGCTGAGCGAGGTGAGCCTTAAAAAAAAAATGATAGCTAATGTTTTTTAAACATTATGTGTTTAGTACTATTTTGAACTCTTTGCAATATCTCTTTTAATCCTTACAACAAATATTATAATTACCTTTATTTTATACACTAGAAAATTCAGGCATGGAAAGGCTAAGTAATTTGCTTAAAGTTACACAGGCTTGACTCCAGAGTCTGAAATTCTAATCACAATTGGGTGGATGGGGTAATTGGAACAGTTCTTCTTTTTGAAGCCCCAATCAAAAATGTAGGCTGGTGTTTTATTAAGGTCCAGTCTGGTGTGCCGACATTGACCTTTCCTCTCCTGTTTTTCCATGGCAATAGCTTCTCTCTCCAGCCTGTGCGCCACGTGCTGTTTGGCTCTATGGTCTTTGTATGCAAACCAGGAACTGTTTGAGGTGAAAGAGTAATGGGAAGTTGCTTTTTTACCATCTCTCTAGAACTTGGTTTTGTTCTGAAATAGGAAACAGATAGCTTAAACAAATAGTTAAAAAAATAGCAACAACAGGCCCTCCCTGGTGGCGCAGCGGGTTAAAGCACAGCACTAAGAAGCTAAAACCACTGCTGCATGAGTTCGATTCCCGCCTGCCCCGGAGGTGACCACATGGCGCGGCAGACCTCTCCTGGTCCTCCCGCTGCTCCCCTCAGCAGTGTACTTCGTTGATCTGCCTGTTCTGCTCCCCACTCTGTCTCTGGTGAAGCCTCTCACCCTCCGCATCTCTGGCCTATACCCCAGTTCTGTATGAATAAATAAATCTTTAAAAAAAAAAAATAGCAACAACAATAGAAACCTGTGAAAACCACAGGTAAGCTGGAAAAAGAATATAACTTCTGTGGATGTTTCTCTTTCAAATGATTTACACATGTCTGTGTGTCTGATGTTTTTGTGCCTTTTTCTAAAGATGATGACCCCCCAAGTCCCCCATAGATGGAAGGTGAGATTGCTGAATAAGACCACAGATGTTTGGCTCTGTCTGGGGCTGGTAGTGAGACTTAAACAAACTGTCTTTTCTATGCTTTTCCTCTTTTTGTCAGCAAATGGAAGGAGCCCAAACCTTCTTGTTTGCTTATGCTCACATTTTGAGGTGGCAAGAGAAGCTTTGGGCTGTTCAGCTGGAAGGCATCATTTAGGTAAAAGCCTGCTTTTATAAATGAACATTTTTTTTACTCTTGCAAATCCTATTTCACACTGACACAAACTGTGGAGCTGTTGCGTAGGAGAATTCATTTCCATCTCAGGCTCTTGTCTAACCAGAGCCAGCCCCCCTTGTCCATCCTAGAGCTGTCTGCTCAGAATAGCCTTCTTTGATACCCATATATACACAGTTGAAACAGGATCACGGAGATCCTTTTGTGGCCAGACGTTGCTCTACTTGCTACTGTGCCTGTGAACCTCACCAGGAACAGGGTCAGGGACTGTTTCTACCTGAGAGTTGGTTTCTCAGTTTTGGAGTCAGAGATCTGGGCTTATATCACTATGTAGCCCTGAACAGGTTACTTAGCTTCTCTAAGCCTCCTGTGAGACAGTGATCCCTACCTACTCTGTGTGACTGCTGTTGAGAGCCACGTCAAACAGCGCTTGTTAAGTTTTCAGCATACAGTGTGCAGGCAGGAGAGCAGATAGGCACTGGGGACAGAGTACCTGAATTCAGATCCTGATCACACTGTGTTCAAGCTCTACCCTCAGGCATGTTGTCTACCTCAGTCTCATGTATGTAAGGGATAAAATGAAGATAGCACTTTATAGTGCTGTTGTGAGAGCTAGGGAGATATAAAGCACTTGAGACAGTGCCTGACACTCAACAAACCCTCAGTCCATATTAACTTGCCGTATTCCTCTGCCTTTACAAAGGGAATGGGTAAGATCTTCAGTACTCTTGTGTTTATTCCTCTTTTCTTAAGCCTCTTCCTGATGGCACTCCTTCCTCTGCCCTGACAGCCTGACTGTAGTAGACTCTGATGGAGCTACCAACTCTACCACTGCGAACCTGACAGTGAACAAAGCTGTGGATTATCCCCCTGTGGCCAATGCAGGCCCCAACCAAGTGATCACCCTGCCCCAAAACTCCATCACCCTCTTTGGGAACCAGAGCACTGATGATCATGGCATCTACAGCTATGAGTGGTCACTGAGCCCGAGCAGCAAAGGGAAAGTTGTGGAGATGCAGGTAGGAGGGAACAGTGTCTGTCTTTTCTTGCCAAGAGGCATCAGAGCAGCTGGATCAGATCAATCATCCCAGGCTCATTGTTTCTCCAAATCAAAGTCAGATTTGTGTATAGAACATTTGAGCTAACACATACACACAAACAAACTTTAAGGGATCTTTAATTAAAATACTAGCAAAAGTCTTTAAGTGTTTGGAATTATAGAAGGCTTGATGATAAAGTGTAGCTGTTCCAGATGATTCCAGAGACAAACTCTTCAAAAACTACATCTGTAGTTTTACACCTGCAAGGGTGCAAATCTCAGTGTTTTCTATACAGTTGTACTAAGTACTTGACTAGATCTTGAGCATCTTCTCTTTGGAGATGATTAGATGGGTCTTCAGGCATCTCACAGAAATTTGGAGAACTGTGGCTTTTAGTCAGCAGTTCCAAGATCTAGCTGCTTATTACTTCATGGAAGTATTACCCTGACAATGCAAAAATCATTCAGCTTTTCAAGATAAGATAAAAACCTAGACCTGTATGTGAAATTTTATAATTTTTCAAGACTCTACAGTCCAAAAAGAATATCTGTGAGCTGGATTGAGCCCACAGGCTGCCAGTTTTTGCCCACTGTTCCAGAGAAAGTTCCTGCATTGGAAGCCTGCCCATTATAAATTATTTATAATGTTCCTTCTGACATTCAAAAGTCTCTGTTTCTGTTTTGAAGCTTGACTTAACGCTCACTTTTCACCTGGTTCTAGTTTAATATTCTGTTAAGTTTCTCTGCTGTTGCAGAATCCATACAAACCTGTAAGTGGGCTACATGGCCTTGCATAGCATCTTAAGTTGCTGTTGTGTTGTGTTGAGGCAGCTTGGTTGGGATTACAATGTGGCTTCAGTAGGAAGAATGCTGTTTTAAAAGTTGCTTTACTTAAAAAAAAAAGGATTATTTTATGTTCAAGGTTGTCATTCTGCTGTGGGTCATGGAGGCTGATCTTGGTTGTTTCTCTACATTTCCTTGTACAGCCCTCCCTTATGAGAGCCCTGACCTTATTGGAAACTGTTGTTATGCAAAGAGGGCCATTCTCTTGAAGGGAGATACCCTGGGTTACAAGTCCCTCCAAGTCTAATTCAGCTTTTGCTAATTATGTTGAACTGGGAATAATAGTAATACCATTTTAGGTTTAGAAAACTGGGTAAATCTTTTCAACCAGAATAGGATTGTTTGTATGATGTTGTGATTCTGGGGGTCTGCTTTTCCATTTGTCTATGTTTACATATATTCAGGGTGTTAGGACACCAACCCTGCAGCTCTCTGCCATGCAAGAAGGAGACTACACCTACCAGCTCACAGTGACTGATACAATAGGACAGCAGGCCACCGCTCAAGTGACTGTAATTGTGCAGCCTGGTAAGCCCCATCCTCTGGCGCAGGATCTGGTGTTGGCTGACCCTTTGGGCCTTGTGGGGGAGAGGACTTGAGTTCTGAGCTACGGAAGGGAGGAGGCAGGAAGCACCAGTCTGCAGCAACTTCTGTTGTACTGGCAACTTCTGTGGTCAGCTCACCTTGTGTTTTTTGGCAGAAACAGAGTCTGCAGAGCCTCAGCTTGTGTCCTTGCCACTGGCCAGTCTGCCACGCCAAATCCTATGTCCCCTAGGGGCCTGCTGAGAGCCTACTTCCACAGGAAACCTCACCTTATCACTCAACCCTGTCATTTGCACTTGGAGAGCATTGTATTTTAAACTTAGCATGATACTACCAATTCTTCTCTGCCTTTCATGATTGGTTTATGTTTCAGTCATATTCTTGATTGTGACCTTCTGACTGTACCCACATCTCCCATAGTATCTGACATTTCTATGGGCAGAGACAGAGTTCTCATGGCTTCCACAACATACATTCCATTTGGTTCCTCTCCTTTTCCATCTAGACTGCTTTTGACTTCCAAGTCTCTGTCTTGTAGAAAACAACAAGCCCCCTGAGGCCGATGCAGGTCCAGATAAAGAGCTGACCCTGCCCGTGGATAGCACCACCCTAGATGGCAGCAAGAGCTCAGATGATCAGAAAATCATCTCTTATCTCTGGGAAAAAACACAGTAAGTATTGACTTAAAACCCTTATTTGTACAAAGGCTCTAAACCTTTGAAGAACAAGGTTTTACTTACTTTTAAGAGTCTACTCACTCTTATTGGCTTATCCAAGGGGGTGCCTGCAAAAGAAATGTTTCCTTCAAACTTCAGTTCTAAGAAAATGTTACAATTTTTGTAAGAAAGAATGCTTACCATCAGCCAGTCCCCAGGTAGTGCTTTGTGGTCCTGGTGCTTTTATAGGTACAATCCATCTGCTAAAATGCATAGTTTAATTACACTTGAGAGGCAGGATAGAGGGGGTAATGGAGCAGAAAAATACTTTTGCTCAGAATTAACTGGCTAAGGCTGGCAGGGGGGATGGGGCAGAGCAGCGATTAAGGAGATTGAAAATTCATCTACAAAATGAAAGCATTACTCTGTTATTGTTGCCTTGAAGATATCATTTACTGTTTATGTTAGTGAGAGGCCAAAGGCAGTAACCAAAGTAGACTAATTACACTGTAAGTTACCTAGTCGAACTATTGCTGGTTTTCACAGTTTCCTTTCTGCTAATTTAAATCATAACAAATGGAACTCAGATTATATGCAGGACTTCACAGAAAGCAAAGAATTCCCCAGAAGGGCTAAGGGTATTCTGGTTCCTACAGATAGCAAGCATAGAACAGACTTGGCTGTTTATGTTTTTTTGATCAGGGCTTAACAGACTAGTAAGAAAGGACTAGAATTTGTACAGGAACCACTTACTAATAACAATTAGTGACTTAGATTCTAGAAACTATTTCCCTCAGGTTTTCTGTCTTTTGGAGAACCTAATGCATCCTAATTCGTCCAGTGAGTTTTAATTATAACTGATTGTTGAAGATATAGCTGCTAAACCTTTCAGTTGAGTCTCATAGTGCTGCCAACATAGATAAGGCTTAGTGCGGCTTCTTAGAGAAGTGTTTCAAGAAGGGCTGCTAAGATCAGCAGTTACTTTAAACAGAAAAACAAAGCAAAACCTGAGAGTGTGAAGATTTCTCTGCTTGCCCTGTAGTTTTCAGGAAAGCGCTGGGATATTTCGATCCCTGAGTAAGAAGGGCTCTCTGCCTCTTGCTCCTTGGGCTGCCTGTCATCACAGAACTCACGGCCTTACTGCAGGCTGCTCTGTAAGGGGCCCAGGAGGTGTCCTGGGCCCTCTGTGGGGCCTGTTCAGGAGCTGGAGGGCGCTTTGCTTACAGAGCTGCTAAGAGGAGGTGGTTGTGCTCTAAGGGCCCTCTGCAGACTTGGCCCATTTCCTCTCCTTGACTTTTTACCTAGAGGGCTTTTGGCATGTGGTTAGGAAATGAATTTTTCCTCTTTTCTGGCAAGACCTGAACCAACTCCTGATCCAGAAATGCTTTCAGAAATATCACTCTTAAAATTATTCAGTTGATCAGACACCTGCTCAGTGCACTTTCTTTTATACACTAGAACAGTAAAAAGTTTGAATGTTCTAGAAACTCATATAAAGGATAAAGCTAGATGTGCTTGAAAGCTAGTGAATGGAATTTCCTGACCAGCAGGTAGCCTTTATTTTGAGGCCTATTGACTCTGCAAGTGGAGTATTTTTAAACAAGTCCTCTCAGGGTCTGGAAAGCAATAGCTCATGTCTTAGCTGAGGCAGTAATTGTCTTCTCCTGCTGAGTCAGGGACAGGATTTCAGCAGACAGGTACAACTCCGCCTTCTGGTTTGTCTCTTTGTCCAGGGGACCTGATGGGGTGCAACTCGAAAATGCTAACAGCAGTGTCGCCACTGTGACTGGGCTGCAAGTGGGGACCTACGTGTTTACCTTGACTGTCAGAGATGAGAGGAACCTGCAAAGCCAGAGCTCTGTGAATGTCATTGTCAAAGAAGGTACCTCCCTGCCTAGGACTGGTGTATCATCTTCTTGGGTCAGATAACTGAGGAGTCATCTCTTATTTGGCTACAAAAATTGATTATAAACAAGGGATGGGGGAGAAGGTTGGGTGAGGGCAGCTTCTTGCTTTTCTAAAACAACCTTTAATTGAGAGTGACTGTTTCCCTCCCCCTACCCTCCTTTCCTTCCTTCTCAGTTTACCAAGGAAAAAAATTAAAGGTTTTTCTCTTTGCAGTTTTATTTTGTCTCTGTGCTACAAAGTCCTGGGTTTCCATGGCTCTCCCTCTGGCTACAGTGACACCTGCTGCCAGACATTAGAATCACTGTCTTGCACTCTGCTTCCTATGCTTGGTCTATGAGCCTGCAAGCTGAGGCCAACTGGAGGCAGTTGTTTGGCTTTGCTGTGGTTTGCCACAGTGATCAGTGATAGACTTGAGAGAGGGCTACATGCTGGTAGCAGGGAAAAAGCTCTCAGCTATGAGATGACTTCCACAGACAGTATGCTGAGCTCAGGAGTCACTGAACACACACATAGTAAACAGCTACCAGTGGGGCCCAAGATAAAAAGCAGCTGAAGAATAATCCTATTTAGAGTCAACTGAAGTACTAAGGAAGGAATCAAGAAAGATACTTGGAGAACAGCATTTAAAGCCTTGTTTTAAAGAGCATTTGTGATATCAGATGGATGAACCTATACTCTGACACTTTCTAACCTGCTTTAGGCCTTTGTTTCTGGTCAGCATCTACTTCCAAGGCAGAGCAGTGGATTCTTTCAGGGAGGCTGCTTTGAGAATATGGGGGAAACTGCACTTGTCTTTTCTGCCATAAGCTGTGTCTGAAGAACGACTCTGGACAGGACTGGAGCCTCAGGGCCCACGTGCTGGCGGCTTCCAGCTTGTCTTGTCAGCTCTGGCATGGGTCGGCACTTAAGACAGTTCTTCATTTAAGATGATTTCCCCATCCATGTGCACACCATGAATACTCACTCTTACTGTGGCAGACTGTTACATATTTCAATACTTTCTCTTTGGCTAGAAATGAACAAGCCACCTATAGCCAAGATAACTGGGAATGTGGTGATTACCTTGCCCACGGACACAGCAGAGCTGGACGGCTCCAAGTCTTCTGATGACAAGGGCATAGTCAGTTACCTATGGACTCGAGATGAGGGGAGCCCAGCAGCAGGGGTAAGTGGATAAGGTCAAGGTGGTGAAACAGGGAAGGAATCTGAGCCAGATGTTACAGTATCTGTTTTAACTGGTTCCTTGTATCAAATCTGGGTCATCCTCCAGTTCTAGAAAGGTTAAATGATTGCCTCAGGGTCACTCTGATGGAGCATGGCACAGAACGTGCCTCTCTCCCCTGATCTTGGTGGCTGTGGGCATTGTCATTACACAGCAGGCACTGCCCAGACATGGAGCAGTCCTGCCCACGGTGGCCTTGAGTTATGACAGAAGCAGCAACTAACTTCACAGAAAGAGGGAGGATTTTTTCTGGCAAAAAGTCATGTCGTTCAACCCCACAGGAGGTGTTAAATCACACTGACCACCACCCTATCCTGTTCCTTTCCAACTTGGTCGAGGGAACCTACACATTTCACCTGAAAGTGACTGATGCAAAGGGTGAGAGTGACGTAGACCGGACCACTGTGGAGGTGAAGCCTGGTGAGTTCATGTAGGGATGAGCCTGAGTGGAATCAGTGTGTCAGTTGAGCAGGGCCTCGCATGGGACACATACTCCCTCCAGCATGGGCAGAGCCGGATGGCGTGGCCAGCTGTTAAAAATATCTAGAAACCCCAATATGAAAAACCCTGTCCATTTCACCAGTACATCTCCTACCTATGCAGGAGTATAATCCTCTTTCCACTTCTCAGACAGAGACAGAAACTCAGAGGGCAGGGGCAGGGCTTACTCAGCGTCACACAGGGTTGTGCCAGAGCCAGGCCTCGTGCACGCAGGCCAGCACTCTCCCCCCTGCCCGGAGCTGGTGAAAGGGGAGTTGGGGTGCCCTGGGGATCTCAGCACAGGAGTAACTTAGTCATGATGTCTCATCAGCACCCAGGTGCAGAAAACAATTTATAAGTTGAGCCTCAGGCTTTATCTGACAGCCTAGGAAGCTAAAGTAACTGGTGTCCTTTACATTCTTAAGATTTGCAGAAATAAGATTTTCTTCTTAAATAGAACCATGTTTTTTGGTTTTTTTTTTGTGGTTTTTTTTTTTTTTGAGGCTAGTTTGGCATTAGGGAAGAAATGAATGTGGGGGTGGGTTAGAAGTTTGTAAAATTCTGAGCATCTGATTAGAAGATATTAACTTTAAACCTACTTTTTAATATCTAGGGCAGGCTAATGGACAGATGATTAAAATGGGAAAGGGAGGTTGGCAGGTCTTTCCCACAGTCCTTTCTCATTGAAGGCCAGCAGCTCGGGCACTATAGACTGTGCCAGGACATAAATTTATGTAAATTATACATCAATGCAGGCAAATACAGCATCCAGCATGCGAATAAGATATTGTAAAGAATCACTTTTAATGCCCAAATGTAAAAGTCTTTGACATATTCCAAAGTAAAGCACAGTGGCCTCACACTTCTTGAGTTGTAAAAAGATTGTACAGCTATGAAGTTGCACTAATGAAATCCTTGTTTCTTGGTTGCCTGGATTTCCTTTGTGTTTACTGTTTTCAAATCTGTGGAGCAGATTCATTCCCACTTTTGGTAAAAGTGCTGAGATGGACATTTTCCCTTGTGTTGTGGATGGGGAGAGATGACTAGTGAGCCCTCAGCTGGCTTGGGAAGTTCAAGAAAGACAATGGGTCAGACTTTTAAAACAAACTCTGAGGTATTCCTCTCTCCTCTACCCCCTTTACCAAACTCCACCACCTCCCTGCTTCGGCCTGGGGGCACATGCCTGGTCACACTCAGGTTGGCACAGGGACCATAAATGTTTCTGAAGCTCTGCAAGCCAGCCCCAGGTTGTGTTGGCAGGACAAAGTCACCGTTCCCCTTTTTGTGTGAAGGAGGCCAGCAGTATCTCTGAATGCTCTCACTAGTCCCCTTGTGCCAAAGCAAATGCACAGGGGCAGGTCTTTTAACTCTCCTACCACCAAAGCCATGACTGATCCACATGCTTTCCAGATCCCAGGAAAAACAACCTGGTGGAGATCATCTTGGATGTCAACGTCAGTCAGCTAACTGAGAGGCTGAAGGGGATGTTCATCCGCCAGATTGGGGTCCTCCTGGGGGTGCTGGATTCCGACATCATTGTGCAAAAGATTCAGCCGTACACGGAGCAGAGGTAGCTGGGCACTTAATGGGGGGAGAAAGAAAGACCAGGGGTCCCTTGGGCTTCTTTACTGAGCCGAGAAATAGTGTGTGTAGCTAGCAGAGGGTGGGTTCTCCGACCAGGAACCACCCAAGGTACCCACTTCTGTAATGGGCTTTCTCTTCTGGTGCAGGTCACAAGCTCTAGTCTAGATATGACGGGCAGGGTAGTAAGGTACAAGGTTGGGGGAAGCAGACTTTTTTTTAAAGATTTATTTATTTGTACATACAGAACTGAGGTACAGGCCAGAGGTGCAGGGGTGGTGAGAAGCTTCACCCGGGACAGAGAGGGGAGTAGAACAGGCAGATGGACGAAGTACACTGCTGAGGGGAGCAGCAGCCTGGTCAGGAGAGGTCTGCTACCCATGTGGGAGCCAGGGATCAAACTCAAGCCAAAGTGGCTGTAGCTTCTTAGTGCTGTGCTTTAACACGCTGTGCCACCAGGGAGGGCCCGGAAACACATTTTTAAAGGCTAGGGAGATATCCGGTAAATGCCTAACATCAGCACAGAGCAAATTGGACAGAAAATGTGGTATCTTAGAAACATAGAAGCAAGGGTGATTAATTCTTTCACAAGGGCTGGGGGGGGGGTAGGCCAAAGATTTTCTGAAAGAAGTAAAACTTATATTGTTCAAGCATAGGGGGACTAGGAGGAAATTCAGAACAGGGAAAAAGAATGAGCATAGGTCTTGTGTTACGGAAGAACAGGTTTTCCTTGGGGAAGCATCACTTGGTTCAGAGTTCACTGGACCCCAGGACATGGTCAAAAGTCAGACTGACTGTGTAGGCTGAGACCAGCCAAGAACTTTAGTTTTAATAGGTTAAGAAGGAGTACCAAACTTAGTTTATTTTATATGTGTGAAGTTTTTCTTTGTTTTATTTTTAAAGCCAGGAGATTTTTTTTTTTTAGGTGAGACCAGTAGCATAGATGCTAGGCTAAAACAGGGAAACACTTGTCTGGGTGACCAGTAAGGAGGATTGAGGACTAATCTAGTAGAAAGGTAAACCTGAATTGATAGAATGGTGATGGAAATAGCAGAAAGAGAAGCTGAAAGAAATTCAGTGATAAATCAGTAGGATTCAGTGACTCTTTGGGAATAAAGAGGACGGAGGCATCAGATGAGACTGGCTTGGTTGATGGAGACAGATGGAGAGTGGTATCTGAGATGAGGTATACAGAAGGAGCCAGTTTCAAAGAAAAGATAATGAGTTTAGTTTTGACTATTAAATCTGGGTGTCTGGTTTACATGGGGAGATGGCAGCAAGTATAGGTGGTGGAGGGAAAAGCCAGAGATGGGGAGTCACCAAGCCATGAAGATGGATGAGTCACTGGGGACATCCAGAGGGCTGAGGACAGAGCCCTGGAGACCACCAGTATTTAAAAAGAAGGCAAAGAAACAAGTGCCAGCAAAGGAGACTAAGCAGCAGCAGTCAGAGAGGTGGGAGGAAAACTCTGTGGGACAGGTTCACGGGAGCTCGGGGAAAACGACCTGGCAGAGGGCTGCACGGGACTCGAGGCTACAGGGCAGTGCAGGCTGGGACTCTGGGTCTGCGATCAGTGAGCCATCGAAGCTGTAGTGCGCATCTTATGCTTTTGAACAACTGGGAAATAAGATTGAAAGGACACCTTTTAAAGATGGGAGTCCTTGGGGTTTTCTTGATTTTGTTTGTTTTTTTGGGGGGGGCAGGGAGGGAAACCATGCTGGAGCATATCTGAGCATTTTTACAGACTGAGGATAGTACAGGAAAAAAGCCAGTGAAACTAAGATGTGGGCTGTAAGTGGACTTGGGTCTGAGGGACTGACTGTGGGCTGAGCAAGGGCATCTCTTTCTCTGAGAGAGCTAAGGGGAGACGGGAACACGCTGTGGGTAAATTTAGAGGTGGCAGGGTGAAATTTTAGTGTTGGGTGAAATTTTAGTGTTGGGACCTACATCCTGTGTCTTATCTCTGAAACTGAAGGCAAGGCCGTCTGCATTAAGGAGCTGGATGGGTGAGCAGCCTGAGGCATGGCAAAGGCTAGGAACAGCAGCTGTAGGAAAGCTGGCTTGGGCAATAGTGGGTCTCAGCCAAGGTGAGAGACATAGTAAGTCAGGGTTCCCAACTCTAGTTACATGACACAGTACAGTGGGGTTATCTGGAGTTTTTACGGACATGCCATTACCCAAAACTTACTCCTAGAGATGATGGGTTAGTTGGTTTGAGGTGAGGTCTCAGTGTTCCATGTTATTCTAATATGTACTCAAGGTTCACTGGTTCCGAGGCAGCATGAAAATTACATGTTAAAGCTCTGCTCAGCATCTTGGGGGCTAAGATAAGGGAAGGTGGCTGCTGGGGTAGATCCCAGCTGGTGAGGGTTGACTGGGGAGAACCATGTAGAGACATTAGTGGGAGACATCAGAACATTGTTGGAAGGGTGTGTGTGCAGACTTTGGGTTTCTCGCTTGGCCAGGATTGACTTAATTGATGACTTCAGGAAAAGGACGTGAATGAAGGGAGATAGTATGTTACACAGGAAGAGCATGGGCCTCGGACCAGATGAAAATGGCTTCTGAATCTGCTCTGTTACTGTTAGTTCTGCCTTCATTTCTCTGGGAAGGCTCACCTGTCTGAGCTTATCTTAGCACTTACAAAATCATGTGTAAAAATGGTTGTATTATAAGGCTGTTATTGAGGATTATATAAAACAATGTTCGTATAGTCCCTGTGACATACTGAGTATTTGTGGTTATTATAAATTTATTTTTGAGGATTTTGGGTTTGAAGTGCCATGGAAGATCTGGGGTAGATATTTTAGCAAGCATTTGCAGATACAAATTTAGTCACTCAGAAGAGATGTGGGTATAGATGATAAATGTTTGAGGTTATTAGTATATAGACAGAAAGTGAACCTATAAGTATCGATTATGTAATAGGGAGAAAATAATGGGCCACAAGTCTTTTTTTTTTTTTTTTAATGCATACAAGAACTGGGGCCAGAGGGGCAGGGGTGGGGGTTGCGGTGAGAGGATTGAGAGACAGAGCAGGGAGCACAACAGGCAGATTGACTGAAATACACTGCTGAGGGGAGCAGCAGGCAGGATAGGAGGTCTGCTGTGGTGCCACGTGGGTCACCTCCCTGCCCAGGGATCGAACTTGTGCTGCTGAGTAGCTGTGGGTAGCTTCATAGTACTGTGCTTTAACCTGTTGTACTACCAGGGAGGGCTGAGAGCCACAAATCTTTTATGGTAAAGGTTTGTTTCTTGATTCTGGAATGTATAATGTCCCATTGTTAGCTTTACTTTTAGATAGTCTTTCACGGTGGTGCTTCCCAAACTTTTCTTACGCCACACAGAAAATAATGCTGTTTATTTAGCACTCTGGGATACCAGGTCCCACCCAGCTGCCCTCTGTGCAAAGGGAATCAGTTTTTGGGGCATATATCTATAGCCCCAATGTGATCCACTGATTGGGAAGCTTTGGTTCGTAAAACCAAATGGAGTTCAAAAAAGCAGACTACCAAAAATGGAGGCGAGGCTCAGAGAAAAGATTGTGTGCTGCCCTGATATGAGCTCAAACATGGCCTGCATGACAGAAATGCAGCCAGGAAGCGAAAGTGGTCCTGGGCATGGAACAGTATTGTCCAGACCAATCGCACGCTAGCAGGTCTTTCTCATCGCTGTCATGGTCGTGCTATACTGGCTGTGTTTCTGCCTGTGAATTGTGCTCTGACGCTGTCTAACAATTTACGTTTTATAAAGCATTGTGGTTTGTCTTACAAGTGGCCCAGGCACCACAAACCCTACAGCCCTACTGAAAGCCTGACAGCGTTTTCTGACCTCCAGTTACCTATTTGGGCTTGTCCTTTTGTTAACTGGGGCAGCTATGGGCATTTCTACAAGCACAGACTTTGGAGTTTGGACATGCCAGGTTTGGGGTCTGGCTCTGCCATAATTAACTGTGTGACCTTGGGCAAGTTACTTAACCCCTCTGAGCCCCAGTGTTGTCCTCTATGAAGAGATAATGCCTTTCTCACTGACTTGCTGTGAGAGAAAGCACATACAACTTAGCACAGTGTCTGGCACAGACAGAAGGTATACTTAAGAGATGACAGCTACCTCTGTGGTTGACAGTTTCAGCTCATTCATACTGTTGCCTGTCTCTGCAGCACCAAGATGGTATTTCTTGTTCAAAATGAGCCTCCCCACCAGATCTTCAAAGGTCACGAGGTGGCGGCGATGCTCAAGAATGAACTCCGGAAGCAAAAGGCAGACTTTCTGATATTCAGAGCCCTGGAAATCAACACTGTCAGTGAGTAACTTTGGAAAGATGGAATAAGCCCCCAGTGCCTGCAGCTCACTCACAGTCCTAGCTGTCGGGGCTTCATCTCCTTCTTCAGGGAAGATGGAGATAATCACTTTCCACATTACTGTTATCACAAGAGTCTCCACTCAATAGCATTCTTAACCTAGGGTTCATGGGCCTCTAAGAGCGCTCACGTCAGAGGCACTGAGTTTGAGTGAGAAAAAACTATCTCTAAGCAGCCTCTAACTGAAATTCACTTTTCCCCTGCATTATGAAGGTAGGCAACAATCTATGGTAATACTAATAGAGCCTGTACTTTCAGGCAATGGTTTATTATACGATGAGATACCACTTATCACTACTACAAAATTATGACAGTTACTAGACTCTCTTCTCCTACTCAGTAGGGCGTTTTTCCCCCTTTTTTAAAAAAAAGATTTATTTTGGCATTCAGGAACTGGGGTGCAGGCCAGAGGTACAGGGGTTTGTATGTGATAAGATTTACCAGAAAAGAAGTGGGGTGCAGAACAGGAGGCTCTACTGAAACAGTTTAATGAGGGGAGCAGTGGGTGCACCATGCAGGTCAATCCTGGCCAGGGCTAGATCTCATGCTGCAGTGGCTGAAGATATCTTGATTGCACTGAGAATTAACCCCTGCACCACCAGGGCAGGCCTGTTTTTCCCTTTTGATGACAGTGCTTTGCTATGCATTTTTTGGGATGTAGTCCTATTTAAATAATATATAATCTTGAATATTTCAAGACTTAGTCTAATTGCTTTCCTTTGTAATACTATGTATTTTTTTTTTGTAATTAAATAATTCAGAGAAAGGGGGTCTATGGGATATAAAAGATTAAGAACTGCTGATACAGAGAAACCAGTGAACAAACTGGCACTGGCAGCGGCCTGCCAGGCGCTCCAGTTTTGTCTGACCATGACAATTATCAGCGATGTGCCCAAAGTGTGAGAGCACTTGGTGCAGGTCTGTGGGAGTCTGGGACCTGTGCAGGTGGGAAGAGGGGAGCCTATGTGTCCGCAGGCACGGGATGCGGTTGTCCCCAGCTCTCACTCCTGGTGACTTCTTTTCCTGCTACTTTCAGCATGTCAGTTGAACTGTTCTGACCATGGCCACTGTGATTCATTCACCAAACGCTGTGTCTGCGATCCATTCTGGATGGAGAATTTCATCAAGGTGCAGCTGAGGGATGGAGACAGCAACTGTGGTAAGATTTCTGCTTGGCTCTGTGCCATCTGGTTTGGCGCTAAATGTAGTTCTCAGTTGAGTAGGTGGGTGTTGGTGTCTCTGAGACAGATGAGCAGGGAGGAGAACTCTGTGTCTTTTCTGTTTGCAGAGGACTTTTACTTCCTTCCTCCACACTTCTGCTCAAGGTTAGAGGAAAGCTCTGGAGCAGTCATGTACGAAGAACCAAGCTTAAGTCAGACCAAATGCAAGCTGCAGCCTAAAGCAGATCAACCTCGAGGCCTCTGGGATTCCCAGGGTGTCTTGTGCTATAACTTAGTGGTAGCCCAAAGGTGTCTGTCCCCCAGCCCTCTCTGCAGTCTGCCCTATTGCCCCGGGGTCCTCAGAGCAGGGACTGAGGAGCAGGGACAATCCCAGTGTCTTAATTTTGCAGCTGCCTTCATCTCCAAGGTTTCACTTTCCCCTGGGAGAACCAAGAATGGGTACACTCTTGTTTATAAAGTAAAGCCACCTCCTACCCAAAGGTGGGGACAGCCCAAACCTTTCTTCAGGCCTTTCTCTTCACACCCCTTACTACTTTATTTCTCTTTGCAGAATGGAGTGTGTTGTATGTTATCATTGCTTCCTTCGTCATTGTTGTTGCCTTGGGAATCCTGTCCTGGACTGCAGTCTGTTGTTGTAAGAGGTAAGATGGATTCTCCTTTCAAATTCATTGGGATTTCTAGTCATGTGTTCATTCATCAAAGTAGCAGCTAGTGCCCACCTCATGGAAAGCCCTGAATCCTGTCACTGCTAGAGTAATCTGGGCACTCAAGGCATGCGCAGAAAGGCTTTCTTTCCCACTATGTGGATCTTACCACAATAAATTTGCCAGCTGGGAAATGCTGCACACTTCTGGCTTGGAGGGAGTGGGAAGACCTGGACTGTGATCTAGCTCACCTGCAGGCTGTGTGTCCTTTAAGATTCATCATCTCAGGGCCCTCCCTAGTGGCTCAGCAGGTTAAAGCACAGTACTAAGAAGCTAAAGCCATTTCCGTGTGAGTTCGATCCCCCATCCCCGCCTGCCATGGAGGTGACCACATGGCATGGCAGACCTCTCCTGACCCGCCCGCTGCTCCCCTCAGCAGTGTACTTCATCGATCTGCCTGTTCTGCTCCCCGCTCTGTCTCTGGTGAATCCTCTCACCCTCTGCATCTCTGGCTTATACCCCAGTTCTGTATGAATAAATAAATCTTTAAAAAAAAAAAAGATCCACCACCTCAGCATGTGATTTCTCCATTTCTCTGCCTTCCTTTCTACTTAAGTTCATGCATGCATGTTTTCATATAAGTGCATGCTTAGGTCAGTCATGACTAAATGTTATGTTTTTTCATTATTCTTAATATTTAGTAGTTTTTATTATGTTTTTCATTATCAATAAGTATGATTTCTACACTTACTGTGTGCCAAGAATCATGACAGTATTTTATAGAACTTCTCTCTTTTTTTAAATGTTTATTTATCTATGCATGCCAAGAACTGGGGCACAGGCCAGAGGTGCGGGGGTGAGGATTCACCAGAGATAGAATGGGGAGCAGAATAGGCAGATTCAATGAGACACACTGCTGAGGGAAGCAGCAGGCCAGTCAGGAGAGGTCTGCTGCGCCATGTGTGTCACCTCCCTGGTCAGGGATTGAACTTGTGCCAGAGTGGCTGCAGACAACTTCACCGTGCTGTACCCAACCCATTGCGTCACCAAGGAGGGCCCTAGAATCTCTCTCTCCCTCTCTTTTCTTTTTTTAACATGCCTAGTTATCTTTATTATTTTATAGGTAAGGAAATTTAAAAGAATGGCATCACCTGCCCACAGACATACAACTAACAAGTGGCAGAGCTGAGATTCAATCTGTGATATAACTGACAAAACACCTTAGCGAACTTAAAAGAATTTTTAAAAATTCCCACCAGCCTAAGACAACCACCATTGACAACTTGGTTGGTTTAATGTTGGTTCCTTCACTCCATACCCTCAAGCACAGGGTTTTAACTTAACAAACGTCATTGCTGCTGTAGAGTGACGAGTTCATGCTAAGATAGCGACAGTTCCTTTGTTTCCCCCCCAGAATTGGCGAGGAACATTTGAAAGATTTAACCATTGCTCCTTTTCTGGCTGAGAAGTGAGGAGCAGCAGCTCCCCCCAGAGCCGGGCCCTGCATGCAGTCTGCAGTCTGCCCGTCTGTCACCATGTGGCGGCTGCCTGCCTCTCACACAGAGCCTTTGCTGATGGAGTGCGGGTTGTGTTTTGCAGGCAAAAAGGAAAACCCAAGCGGAAAAGCAAGTACAAGATCCTGGATGCCACCGATCAGGAAAGCCTTGAACTGAAGCCAACACTCCGAGCAGGTAGTGGCCCTGGGAGCTGGGGTGTCTAGGTTTGTACAGTCTCCCTGTGAAAAGCCCCCCATTGTTAGTCCCTCTGAAATGTGCCATGGGAGGCTGTTTGTGCTGGAAAGCATTGTTTCCTGCTTGACGAAGGCCAAGGGCCAGCTTCACCCTTCCAGCAGGATTGCCTAAGGGTCAGGCTAGCTCCCAGGCTCCCTCTCAGCACTGGTACTTTGCAGAGGGCCTCATCCTCTTTCTTTCCTTTACCGGATCAGTCCTCTGCTGTGCTCTGCAGTTAGGCTCAGATCCTGCATCTCTGATGCCTGACCAGGAGCGGCAGTGGTGAGACCTCAGCCAGTATCTGCCAGCCTTCCTCTGCCATGGTCCCCTCCAGCATTTGGCAGACAGATCTTAGGCTCCGTCACTGTCTCAGAGCTGGCTGCTAAATTTAGGTGGTGGCTTCCTTGCTGGCTCCAGGTGCATCAGGCTCCTCTGTGAGGTGCCACCCCCACCCCACCCCAAAGAATCTCCAAATGTGCAAGCACTGGGCTGGCTTTTGGGGGTGGGGCTAGCTGAGTTAGGGCAGGCCTAAGGCTCCCCTTCCTCAGCTGGTCTTGGTCCCTTGAAGTACCCAGTCAAGTGCCATGGACAGCTGTGGTCTGTTTATGGGAGCTGGACTCTCAAGTAGAGCTATTCCTCAACACAAGTAGAACCATTTTCATTTATTAAAGATCTTCCATACCTAAAGCGATCATTAGGAGAGGCAGGGGGAACAGAGTTAAGGAAGCTGACTCTGCCTCAGAATTCCAGACTAGTTCTTTTCTCAAGACAGAGAAAAGCCAGATCAGAAAAAAAAGTGAGTGTTCATAGGCCATCTGGGCTCTGCTCCCAGCAGCCCAGATGGAGAACACAGATTGTGCCTGGAGGTAGTGGGACTGGTACGCCAGTGACGTGGCGCTGCAGGCACAGCACCCTGCACAGGTACCAGGGGCAGAGGCCTGGAGGTGGGGATGTACACAGCCCACCCTGCTCACTGCATGCAGCCAAGGTTGCATTGATGTTCTCTGACAAGGTCTGTCCACCTCTTGAAATCCTCCAGCGACTTACTATTTCCAGAGTGGGAAAACAGACCTTTCAACCTGACAGATACGGCCTCCGGGAGCTTACCTAAATTTCTGAGATCTTCTCTGCTCTTCGCTTTTTCTCTGCCCAGAAAGCGCTCTCATGCCTCCTTAACCTGCAAGTTAAAAGTCAGGCTCATCTTTCTCCCTTGTGTCCATCTAGGTATTTCTCTCACTATCTTATGCTCGTTTTATATGTGTGCCCAAGGATTTCAAACAGTGAAAAGGCAGAGGTTGTTTTATTCTGTGAGCTGGGCTAAGACCAGTGTGTACCAGGTGAACCAGTCAGACACTACTCTCTTGTGATTTACTTTAAGACCGATACTAACTCAAATATACAGACTGGTCGTGTACACTTGAGCCGAGACCTGCAAAAATTCTGGCGAGTAGCATTCCCAGCAAAGGAGCATACTTGGTGAATGCCAGCTGCAGAAGCAGATGGCATTTGAGGGAGTCAGAGAACCCAGAGTGCACAGCACAGCTGGACAGGTGCGTGGGGCACGCTGTGGTTCCGAGAGCCGCAGGGGGCTACTGCTGTATTTTAAGGGGATGAATGGTGATTTGATTTACCTATTAAAGGCTGAAGGGACTAGAGAAAGGCAGGAGTGGATGAGGAGTGCCTGCTACTGATTTCATGAAGTCCTTCCCGGAAATGTATCTGGAGTCTGTCTCTTACTTTTCTACTGTAGATGCATTTTGGGGAAGGACTTCATGAAATCAGTAGTATGTGCTGCAGGGAGGGAGAAAAGGGGAAGTAAAAGGTGTCTCCTAAGTACCCTGCTTCAGGCATCGGTGAGTTTTTGGTTTTTCCCTGAGGTGAGAAAAAATGGAGAAGGAATGTTGGAGATGAAATGTTTGTTTCAAGGCAGTAGTAACTGGGATTGAGGAAGTAAAGCTGGCAGGTTGGGAAGGACCAAGGTGTAGGAAACTGAACATCAGCCTCAAAGGTTCAGCATTACTCTAGGAGTGAAAGTGCTGGCTTTAGACAATGAGCCTAGTGACGTTTAAGTGACTGTAGGAGAGAACACAGTCTGGGGGCTGGAGGTGGAAGTCAGCAAGGAGATGTTGGGGTGGTCGGAGGAGGTGCTGGCTCAGACAGTGTGGTGTGGGGATGCAGGCATTGATAAGGCTGACCTCTGAACCAACAGACAGAACAGCCACACTGCTGACATCAAAAAAACACTTTAAACTATTTTTTTTTTTTAAAAGAACCACCCCTCCTCCCCCACCCAAGGGGGACATCTGGTGCAGACAAACTACATAGAACTCATCAGGGCAGTTAGAACTGAAGTATCAGTATAGGCATCCTCTTTATTTGGGGGAGGATCAACACCACAAAGTAGATCACTTTCTCATGGAGAAAGTTAATGGACAAAAGAGGTGGTCCAGGGCTAAGGAGTCGTCAGGGAGCGTCAGCACTGCTGTTGCCAGAAGGCCCTCCCTGGTTGCACAACAGATTGAAGCGCAGCACTGTTGGGTTGGCCACAGCCACTGTAGCCTGAGTTCGATCCCTGGCCAGGGAGCTGACCCATATGGCACAGCAGACCTCTCCTGACCCACCTGCTGCTCCCCTCAGCAGTGTATTTTGGTGGATTTGCCTGTTCTGCTCTCACTCTGTCTGGTAAATACTCTCACTACCACCCCCTTGCACCTCTGGCCTGTACCCCAGTTCTTGTAGGCATAAATTAGTATTAAAAAAAGGGGGGGGGCAGCAAAGGGTCAGAACTGACAGGGGCACTAGAGACCACACCTAAAGAGCTAGATTAGAGCAGTGAGCACAGCAGAAATGAAAGTGCAGGTTACTTAGGGAATGGTAGGTAGTGAGGACATGGAGGCCCTAAACAGTTTAGAAAGTCCTTTCAGAAGTTGAGCAATGAAAAAAAGGTGGCGTGGGCATTGGAGTGCTAGGGTGTCTCCATGGAAGGAAAGGGCAGGTGGTGAGAGATGGTGGAGCTAGAGGTTGTTTCTGGGGAGACTGAAGCAGGGGAGAAAGGAAGTTAGGACTAACTGAATAGGTAGCTCTTCTGAGGTGGAGGGAAGAAGCCGTGTCTAAGGAGGCCAAACTGAAGGGAACCTAGTGGTAGGCCCGAGCGCTACTGGTGAGGAAGAGCCACAGGGTGGCCGGTTGCCACCTGGGGACAAGAGAAGACTCAGTGGGGTCCAAAGGCCCTCCTCTCTGGCCGTGTCCAGCTGAGGAAGTGGGGAGAAGCTGACAAGCCAGAAGCACTGGCTTTTGTTCTGGGCTCTGAGGATCAGTCAGTACCTGGAGCAGACACATGAGTATGAAGAGAGAACAGAGTAGCGGGCTATGTTGTGTAACCGAAGACATTCAGATTGAAGAATAGATTGAGAGGTCATGTTGCAGGAAAGGTGATGGGCATTTAAGTGAGCTGAAATGGACTTTGCTGGGGTGAGGTGATGGATCACCTGAGCAGAGATAGCTGTTGGGCCCAGGTAGCCTCCAGGCCTAGCTAGTTGGGGAATGCCCACCCTTACCACATGTGACTTACTCCAGCAGCTGGGGGGTCTGGTTTGGTCTAGCTAGTCTGATTTTTTTCAGAACTTTCTGTTGAAGTCTATTAGGTTTATCTGTATGAAATTACTCATAATTACTGTTGACCTATAAATGGTAGTTTTGATAGCTCAAACTAATATATTAGTACAGAAAATTCTAAGCACAGCTGGATGTTCTCTCAGGAGTGAACATGGCCATGTCATCAGCCTCTCAGAAGTGCCCTGTGCTTCTTAAGAGTCACTGTGCCCCCACCCGTTTACTTCAGTTGGACTCATTTGTGGAAATGTGTTGACCTCCTTTCACTCTGCCACATTTATGAGACTCACCCGCATTGTCACCTGCAGTAATCATTTGTTCACTCTCACTGCTGTCTGATGCTGTGTGGCTACCTTGTCATCAGGCAGTCAGTTTCTGTTCTGGGCCTTTGTGAGGGGCACTGCTGTACACTTTCCCGTCCGCGTCCTCTGGTGGGCATGTGCGCAGATTTCTCTTAGTACAGATTCAGGAATGGAAGTGTTGAGTCACCGGAGGCAGGCATGTCGACACCCCAAGGAGAGCTTGAGTTTCCCAGCTTGTGTTTAAGGGTTGAGGTCCACTCTGTTCCAGCGGAGCTGCAGCTAGTGGTGGGAGGGCCCTGGTGAGTGCTGTGGACTGTGGGTTCCTGTCCTCTGTAGCTCTGGGCACAGGCCCTGGGGAAGAAGGAAAGCGTCTGGCAGGAGGAAGCCCTCAAATGACATGGAGACCCAGGGATTGGTTATTTTGTCTAGAGCCAAAGTAGAGATTTGAGGATTTTTTTTCTTGGCTCTCCCTTGGGCTTGGTTCACATATTGACAACTGCCCTCACCACACTGGAGTTGCCCAGGCTGGTGTTCTCTGGCCCTCAGCTGTTATCCTGAGAACTGGTGATGGCATGGCTGTCTGCAGGCATGGCCCAGACCTGTGCTTCTGTGCTAAACCGGCTAGGGCGTGCCATGCCTGAGCCCCTGAGCACACTGCAGACAGCACAGGGGCTGGGGGTGTGGCTGCTAAGTGGCAGATGGAGTCAGGTCTGGATGCCCTCAGCAGTCACAGCCATGTGAATGGCTGTATAGCCAAGAAGGGGCGGTGTAACTAAGAATCTGCTCAGGACACAACAGTGAGTGTGGGAGGATGTGGGTGAGAGAGAGTGACTGTTAGGTGATAGGGCTCCCTATACCCCCTTTTATAAAAGGAGGTGGGTGGGGTGGGGCAGGCAATGCCAGGGCAGAGAGCAGTGCCACGTCGGGTTCTCTCGGTTGCAGTTCCTGCTTTCTAAGCCTACCCTTTGCTGCTCTGAAGAAGTATTTTGTACCAGCCAGACGGCAGCCGTCTAGGGATGGCACCCTACAGCTGTTGTTACCAGGTGGTGTGGCATCCTTGCAGCAACAGGGATGCATGGTGAAGGGCCTCTGGCAGTTTGCACAACCTCAGGCATCTTTCTGACCCTCAGGTTCTTCTTCTAGGCCTCTATGGTGTGTTCAGAGGAACTGATGGCTGGGGACTGTCCCTGAGAGTCCCCATTTCAGCTAGCCTCTCCCAGTAGCAAGGTCCTCTCTGAGACGCGCGCCTGCTCTCCCGCCTCCAGTGTTGTTCCATGGAGCCAGAGCAAACCAAGAGCAGAGCTAACATCTTCAAAGAGTCAAGCTGGTCCCACTCAGTGTGGGGACTCTGGTGGGCGGACACCCCTGCTGAGCCAGGCTACAATGAAAGCTTTCTCCAGAGCCTGAGTTCTTGTTCATGTGCTTTCCTGCATCCCCAGAACACCACCCTAGTCATGAAGGAAGATGACAGAACATACCACACTTAAAGACAAATGAAGGTCGTTGGGTGAACTAAAACTAATAGACAATGGAAATAGTCAGCATTGGATCCCAGGCCTGCTAAGGCTTCTCCTATGGGACTGTTTCAATAGGCCAATACTGGGGTGGTGGGGTGGTGGTGGGGAATCAGGAATATCCCTGACCTCTCCTCAGGTTGAGGGAAGTGTGTGGAAAATGGCTCCAGGCTGACACAAAGAAGGCCCATGTTCCTGACATGCATTTCTGTCTCTCTTGCAGGTATTAAACAGAAAGGCCCAGTGCTGAGCAGCAGTCTAATGCACTCTGAGTCGGAGCTGGACAGTGATGATGCCATTTTCACATGGCCAGACCGAGAGAAGGGGAGACTCCTGCACGGTCAAAATGGCTCCATGCCCAATGGGCAGACTCCACTTAAGGCCAGGAGCTCACGCGAAGAGATCTTGTAGCCCCTGGTCTGTCTCCTCAGGGCAGCGGGTGGCAGTGCTGGAGCCAGGAGCGCACCAAGCTGGTTCATTTACTCCCATGGCCACGAGCAGCTGTTCTGCAGCATCTGCTGGCCACTCCACCCTCACACGCCCAACCAGACCTGCTGGTACTTGAATCCACAGATGTTGTCCAGGAACCCCTGAATGAAGCTGTGAATGAAGAGGTTTCCTCTGTAAACCGTCCAGTAGGCCTCCCAAACATCCTCACCTCAGGGCCTTTTTTTTCCTTTTTTGCACTCCTCTGCTGCTCCTAGAGCAGACACACCCAGCTCCTGGCCTACTGCTCAGCTCCTGTTAGCACTGTGCTGCTCCTAGGCGTCTGTGCAGTGAGGCCTGGCACTGTCCCTTGCGCCTAGATACAGAACCCAGCACCTACAGCCCTGAGCTCCAAGAGTCTGCCTGTGGGCATGCTTTCTGCCTTCTGGGATGGAGTGCGCCTTCTCGCTAGTCTGGAGAATGTGAGGCTGCCCACTGTACCACTGATGCCAGCTGTAGCACAGCAGAGGAGCTGGCCTAAGGTTAGGGGAGAAACGGCTGCTTCAGAAATGGAGGGGTGGCCCTCTGGGCTGCAAGGCTGCTGTGTCAGGACAGCCGGGCGGGACAAAGACTGCCCTCGCTCCTGGCCAGCCACAGCTTCAGGGCCCAAGCCTACTCCCTGTGCCCAAGGGAGATATCCACAGGTGGACCAGGACATTGTGGCCGAGAGTACGTGTGTGGCTGCCTACCAGGGCCGCCTCTGTGTGCGTCTGTCCAACTTGTCTTCTCTGTGCCCCTTGCATGTGTAGAGTGCACGTGCGTGCCTCAGCTCCTCATAGGGCTCTCAGCTGCTCACAAGGCATCCTTGACTCAGAAACCAACTCTCAGCTCCTCGGAACAGAGACTTCCTGAATCCTCCTTCCCTGTCACTGGGTCCTCAGCCATGGCATATGGGTATTGAGGAATGGGGGAAGGCGACTTTTTACAAAGAAACTTAATTTATACTACTGCACTACTGTCTGTTGTGAGATGATTAAACATGCTATTTAATTGTGTATGTTTCTGCTGGGTATGCTGCTCTGTGCTACCTGTCCACCAGGCCTGGCCACTGGGTGGCCTGACACCTACAGCCCCTGGTAGGCAAGGCCTAGTTCAGCTGAGGTCAATGGCCAGGTAGCTAGCTTCGGCCTCTGCCTAGCTGCTGCTGCTTTTTCTTTTTCCCCTCCCTGTCCTGTCTTCCATACCTTTTGTTACCATTTTCAGGACCCAGCTGGGCTATACCAAGTGTCCTGATGCCCAGGGTTAGCAGGATTTCTGGCCTCTTCTTTTCCTTTTTTAGGTTTCCACAGGACTAGGGCATGAACCCTGCCCCAGATGTGTTCAGTGTGCACTGTTCATGAAGCAGCCTGCTGGCTGGTGGGTACAGGAAAAGCTGGTACAGTCTTGGAACCCCAGGGTGGAGAGGAGTGAGGACAGGGAGTAACTCAGTCCTAGAAGAGCCTGTGCTTGAGCTCATCAAAATCACCTGCAGGGCTTGTTGAAGCAGATGGGTGAGCCCTGCTCCCGAGTTTCTGACTGAGTAAGTGCTGCTGGCCTGGAGGCCATGGACCAGGCCCTGGAATGTGCTCACTGGTTTAAGGGCCTCAATATATTCTCCAGTCAAGTTCAGAATTTCCTCCACCTACCTAATATCCCATGTGGCCACCTGATAGCCAAGATTCCCAGCACCGGGGTTGTAGCTGGCTCCACACATGCCTGCTCCCCCAAGGCCTAGGTGTGTTCACCTTGCAGTGTGTTAGTGTTGCCCAGACGGGTGACAACCCCTCCCCTGAGGGATCTTTATTGCTCAGGAGGCTGCTGGTCAGACTCTTGGTCACAAGGAACAACAGCACACAGGCAGATACAAAACTGGCAAGTTGCTGCTGAGCTCCCGAGTAACCTCCCATGTCAACAACTGCCTATTTAGCCACAACAGTGGGTCTCACCCTGGCTGCATGCTAGAATCACTGGGCAATTCTAAATCACACTGAAGCCTGAACCCACACCCCAGGGGTCATTTATTTTGGTTTTTAAATGGTTAACTGAACTGTTCATTCCTCAGATAATTTGTGCAGCCCACTTGACATGGGAAAAACAGTTCTTAGCAGAGCTCAGTTCCAAAAGACTTGCAAACCTGTTGGGTCTGACAGACTATGAGGGAAAGTACTTGGTACCTCTAATTGCCTCAGAATCATGCAGTTGGGTGTAGCGGAGAGCAGCTGTTCACCAAGCCAGAGTACTTTTCCAGAGCAGACAGCTGATCTATGCTCCCAGCCTCTGCCCACTCTCAGCGAAAGAGAGGTGTCCGTCTTCAGCCCTGACCCAGAAATGCTGTGTGATCCTTGCTTGCTTCCTCTATCTGCCGGCCAGATGCAGAGGGGCACTCAGGACTCGGGGGCTACTGTGGAGACACAAGACAGAGAACTGGTCCCTAAACTGCCATCTAGAGAGCTGCCCAGTGGAAGGCCTCTGGGTTACTAAGAGAAACTCCTTTATGGTGCCAGCCAAATTTTTTTTTTTAACCACCTGGGTCTGAGAAAGCTAGTGATGCCTAGTGCAGGCCTCTGCCACAGCCTTGTGGGCTGCAGGAGCATTAGAAAAGCAATGCATCCCATAATCTTGGCCACAGAGTTTCTAGATCAACATGCTTTTTGTAATTTTTCTGAAGTTCAGACAGTAAATCTGTCCATCAGGCCAAGGCAACATGCTTAGGACTCCAGAGTCGGGGGTGTTTACCTGTAGAAGTGATTGAAGTTGAGAGGGGAATCTTAATCAGCAGTAATCTGAATTGTAAACTCCTGGGTCCAGTCTCATGTGGGGAGGCATGACAGGTGGAGAAGATTTCCACTTGTTGACAGGAGACACCTCAATTGTTCCTAGATTTTGTACCCCAGAAAATTGAACACATTTTAAATACTCTTAGATAGGATCCTGCTTAAAGGAAGAGCCAGGACAAATCCAATGCAAAGTGTTTAAATCCAACTTTTTTATAAACGGCTGCATTTCAATACTCAACTGGAAATATTGCTGGGTGGAGAAAAGTCAGCGCTGTAATCTGCAGGTAGCCACCCATCCACAATCTTTGAAGGCGTTGTCCCCTGCCCTTCAGGAAAATAATGCCAGTAGTTATCTAGAATCACACCTGGATTCCATTCTGAACTGCAGAAGCCACAACAAAGACTTAAATCACAGGCATACCTACAATTATAGGCTCTAGGCATTTATTATTTGACTAAATAAAAGAAGGTATGTAGACCCCATTTTACCCCAGGTACAGCCTCCCAGACTTCCAGTGGATTAGCAGCCTAGAACGGCCCTCCTGCTGACGCCTGCACTGAGGCTACAGTGACTCAGATGTCCTTACACTGTGTAAGCAATCAGCCTTCTATATGCTTGTAAGTCCTGAAGCTGGAGCAGTGCCTTGTTTTATAACTCCTACCTGGAACAGTAAAGCTAATAAAACACATATATGCCAGAGCTTGGTGATACAGTAGTGGTCAACACCCAGGAAACCTCCCCTCCCCACCCCCCCACTCTGATTCTGTTAAATAGAGGCAAAGCACAGGAATTTCACACATCCTTGCCTCAGACGAAGGGCTTCTGCCAGACCACCCATAATCTTTGTGTGTCCATCAGGGAGAAATGCCAATTATGACAGCAGGCAGGAAGTCACTACATGGCTGTCTTCTACAGAGATGGCAGCACCGCCTATCCCTTTCTTACCTCAGAAACCCAACTATTGCTCTCAGAAGCATGATATTCTTGGAAAATATCAGACTGTTCTTATTTTAAAAAACAGTATCAACTTTAGCTTCCACCACCCCCAAGCACCAGTCACCTTATGTCACTTCCCAGCCCTACCACAGTGCTGAGTATGCACTTTGAAGTAGCCTATGAGGAGGATAATGCAGGTTGACCCAGCCTAGGGACGTGGAAGAGATGGTTTCTTGGAAAAACACCAGTTGAGTAGGGTAAGAAAATGGCACAGCTAGTCACTGCTGAACTGAGAGAACCTCAAGAGAACCTAGGGTTGTTCAGTTTCCAAGTAATAATACTAGTTTAAGGGATGGAATTAAAATATGGAGTAACATGTAAGAGGAGGGCTGACTGGTGACAATTTTTTTTTTAAAAGACTTATTTATGCATACAAGAACTGGGGTACAGGCCAGAGGTTTGGGTGGTGAGAGGATTCACCAAAGAGAGTGGGGAACAGAACAGGTAGATCTACTGAAATACACTGCTGAGGGGAGCAGCGGGTGAGGCAGGAGATGTCTGCTGTGCCACGTGGGTCACCTCCCTGGCCGGGAATCAAACAAAAGGCTTCCATAGATCAAGTACAGGGTAATTTGAGTATCAAAAGGAGGATCAGATGACAACTTTATGAATACAATAGGAACCCATGGATCTATACTGATAAAAATGAGAATCCAATGCAAAAAAGACAAAGAGTCGGCAATTATATACTAGTAAGAACCATCAGGAACATGTAAGTCTCATAACAGAATACCTGAAATACAGCCTGAAAACTAACAAAACAGCAGGCAAAGAAAGGGATTAATTACCCTGTGTTACACAAGAAGGACATGAGAATGGGCTGGTAACATTAACATGGTGTATGAATCTGGGAACACGGCTAAAGCAGATCCAAGAGGAAATACAGGTGTGAAATAACTTTCCATTTTCAAGAAACAAGAAATACTACCAATGAGTAGTAAAGCAATCAGTCAATAATTTGAAAAATGAACAGCAGGAAAAACCAGAATAAAGTAAGTGGAAACGTGAAGCCTGACAAAATGAAATGTTGGTTCTTTACAAAGACTAAGAGTGGTCAAGAAAAAGAAAATGAGTGAAGAATTTAATATACACATTGTTACTCTAAATATTTGATCCAAATATACAAAATTAATCATGTAGTATGTATGTTTGCAGAACTGGAAGTACTGAACTTAATGAAAATTCAGGCTACAGTGAGGAAGTTAATATTCATATAAAACCCCAATATATACCTGGCAAATACCTGATATCTAAAAGCAAATACCTGATAAAGCACAACTTAAGAAGGAGCTATTATTATTCCCAGTTTATGAGAAAACTGACGCACAGAGAGGTTAAGTAATTCACCTAATGTTACATACCTAATACGTGGAAAGCCAAGGCAAGTTCCAGAGTCTTGGATCGTTGCATTCAGTAATAATACCTCACAAATAATATTTTTCATGATGACGATAAAGTATGACAACAGACAAGTACTAGTAACAACTGTTACTTTTTTCCTAAAATTTCAACTCAGTTCCATTGGGCACCAGTTTGTTAACTTTATTAAGAAAATTAAGATCTGAACTTAATGGAAAATTAGGGTTCATTTACAGAAATTCATTTTACTTTTTGGAAAACTCCTGTTTTTATAAATTAGGACTGCCACAGTGCAGGTAAGAGGAAAAGGAATTGAATTTGAAAGTGTATTTATGCAACACCAAGATGAAGCTAAAGCTTAAAATGCCATTTAGTTTCATATCCCCTAATTAAATGTTTATACTTACTTTTTTATTCTAAATCTCACAATTAATTTGAGTTGATGAAGTCATTCAAGTTGAGCTGATGAAACTTGGTAAGTGTCGAAAAAGTTTGCCTGAAATGAAATATATACATGATACCTAATATTTTTAGTTTTTAATGCTTGCCTATAGTTAACAGATTAACTAAAAATGGGTACAAGTCTCTTGATAGAAAAAGATAAATGAAATATTCTGTAATAAAACAATGTTTAGGACCGAATAAAAGTCAAATAATTTATTTTCTGAAATCTGTTCTTTCCTTGTAATTTTATCATCTGTTAGTTTATACCAATAGGGACAAACAGAAAAGTATTTAAAGTTCTTTCAAGACATAAATAAAAGGAATAACTCACCCATCAAATACAAATATACTATTTTATTCTAAGGGAATATTTTTGTGGTTTCTGCAAGGGAAAAATCCAAACATGGTTAAAAAAAATAAAACAGGTTAATTTAGATGT